ACTATGGTTACTCGCACCAGTGCAAGGAGGATAGAAAATGTCAAGAAACCTGAATGGTATAAGTAACTTGTCTATTTGCAATAAATGCCCTTTGCTGTGTGTTGCTTGAACTTTCCTGTTGCACATTATAACGCCGTACTGGTGTACGAATAGCACGATATCCGTTCGAGCTTGCTGTTATATATTTCTGAAAAAAAGAATCTATGTCATTAGATAGGACTATCAAGAACACATCCCTTCATATCATAACCACTGATTTATTTGTTCCCAAAAGTCAAAATTAAAATAAAATAGTAGAAAATAACCGAATCCGAGTTTGTTTGAACGGCATTCGTGCCAGTAACCACAGTTCGTGGAAGAACAGGTGGAATAACTCGAGCAGAACATGATGCTAAACGTTTTGGACGATGGTAGCCCTGCGGGATACTAACTGTCGATTCTTCAACGCGCGGTGTCGAAGCTACGGCGTAAACAGTCCTGAAATTCAAGTTCGTACTTTTTTGAAAGCTTTAATTAACGAAATGTTTTAGAATTCACCAAGTTAGAACGAAGAACGTAAAAATATAATTAAATAAAATAATTTAAACTTATTGTTTATTGTCTTGCAATGTGTTAACCGTTGAAACAATGTTTGATGGAATATCGTACGCGATATTGTTCCAAGTACCTGCAAAACAAGTTTGAAAAGAAATATGCAATCACTACTACATCATCCTGAGATTTACTAAAACGTTTGGTATTTTTGAAGACTAAAATTTCTGAAAAAAAAAAAAAAAGTCATAAAGTAAATTTAAATTCAGTAAATTATGTTAATGAAGATTTACCAGTTTTGTCAGTAAACACTTTCAAAACTCAAAAAATCACCATCAATAATTTGATCAACATAATCTCGAAGACAAAGGGGCAAATACGACTTGATTTTATTACGATCAATATCATTAACTTCACCGCGGTCTAAACCATACGCAAGACCAAGTCTTTTGAGTACTTCGATATCATCATGTATTTCGAACGGTTGATCAAAATTGAACAAATATTCGGTTCTTAAAGTTAAATTTTATGGGGGAAATAGACTAACATCAGCTCTAATTTACAAATACACTAACACCAATTCTAATGCACGTAGAAATAAAACTTAGCAATAGTGACGATGTCATGCAGTCATGAAGAGTAACACATGACACTAATTTATATTTTACGGAGTAAGCAACATGAGAGCAGAGAAACTATGGTTACCATATTTTGCGGAAAAAAATGAAACAGAAAGAAAACTGGAACAAACTTGTCATGGGAAATAGCACAATCGATGAATGTTTTCTTCGCTGTGTTGACAATAATGAATGGCAAATAAAGTATTGAATCCTCCTTTGGACGACCGTTATCACGCTCCAATTCGCGATTTTTTTCCACCAAGGTTTTGTATGCCACAAGCTACAGACAAACGGTGAAGTTTTTAAAATAAAAAAATTTTTCGTATTAGACCATACATATTTCAACATGAGCTAAATTCAACAAATTTCGTTCTGCAAAAAACTTTGCTAGAATATTCTGACAAATTACATGAAGGACTCAGTAATCAAGGAACAGAACAATATCAGTAAATGGGTTTACCTGTATTATGAGCTCCTGAAGTTGGTCGGATTTATGACGTATTCGCTCCTGTCGCTTCGCTTTTTCTTCCTCTAACTTACGACATTCCTGTACTGAAGATGTTGGTAATCCAACCCATCGAATTTCTTTTTTCTCCTTCTCAATAATATTCATAGCCATTAGCACATTTAATGCATCGTAGACACGGCGTCGAATGTTTTTCATATCATACTGTTGTTTTTCCTAAACATTCTTAGAAAAAAAAAAAAAAAAAAAACAAGTCCCTATATAATTAAGAAGAAATAAAATATATTGTTAAGCGAATTAAAAATTCTTAAACTATGATAGCCTCTTCTTTTTACAGTTACTTATTCTCTATTAACTGGTGTTTTAATTTTTATTTAAACTTATCACTAAGTCTATATTAATTTAATTTTTTTTTCCTTTTTCATCTATATAGCCTTACAGCTTACTCATTTCCAAAAGTATAATTTTAAAATTTTAATTTAAATAAGCACATCTTTTCAAAATTTATTTTAATTCTTATTAAAATTTGAGTTAAATCATTTAACGATGAGAGAAGACACTGCATTTTCTCCTCCTACTAAAATCTGCAAATTTGACTTCCCAGAAAATCTAATTTCAGATAAAAACACACCGTATCTGTAGGCTGAACATCGGCCGAATCGAAATACTCAGAAACCAGCTCATCAGCTACCTAAGAAAGATTCTCTTAACAAGCAATCAATGAAGTCATAAAGCTCTTCATATATATAAACGAAAATAAAATGCTAGAGAAAAATATGGTTTTAAGACACAAATAATAATTGAATACCATTTGATGCGTGATACAGTTAATAATTTTAAACCTTATATTTCAGAATACAGTGTGAATTTCCTTATAATAGCTATAGACGTAGATAGAGAAAACAGCAGAAGATATCATCTGTTGAAAAATGAGTTCATACCAATCGAAGTTAAATAAAAAGAGAGAAGAAACAGCAATAGCGCGTGCCTCATTATAATTTGTATGTCCTTTTTCCTTCACTTTCTCGCAAACTTTGGTACTGAAGTGTCGCAAGCCTTTGGATTTATCAGTACTACGAGGAAATTTCCGTATTAATTGAAGATCGCACGCATAATTACTTGATAAAGGTCGTTTTGCTTGATACACAGATGAACTAGCAGCAGGATGTGTGCTTATACGATTAACCGACATATACCGATTGGGAACTACCGCAGAAACTGACATAGGCCGACCGGCTGATGGATGCGTCGAAAGTCTTCTTGCTGCTCCGGCTCCCTAAAATAGATATATGAATAAGGGGGTATCTAAATTTATTTTATGAAAGTTGACATCATGTACCATTTAAATAAAAGCCTTCCATAAATGACTAGAGAATATTAGTGATTTTGTCAATCAGTATTCACTAGTTACATATTTGTTCAACTGTATTACAATTTAAACTTACAACATAACTATTCTGACTAGATGTGACAGCTCTGCGTGCTAAGTGAGTTATAAGCTCTGACGGTGTGCTGCTCGTTTCACGCTCATCCATTACTCTTAAAATAGTAGATAGAAGCAATTCACACTTAAACAAAAGAAAAGACCGGTCAAAAATGCAACATAACAACAAATAATGAGAACTGTGTAAGATAACACCAATCAAATAAGACTATGAAAAATAATCTGAAAACTAGAAAAAAAAACGATCTGAGATATGCCAACAACACTCAAGATGGAATAGCTATTAGCACCTGCTACTGTTCGACGAAATATTTTCCAAAAGTTACAGTAGATTTCTAAAAGTCTTAATCTGTTCTTCCAATAACTAAAAATATTTTTCCTAGCACGAAACCATCGAGAAATAACAGCTAAGTCGGAAGCATTTAGAACAAAAGAATGAAAAAAACTAAAAACACAATCAGATTAACAAAAATGCCCTAAACACCATTATCAACATGCTTTACATTTACTTTCACCAACATTTTATGCGAAACAGGAAAGAAGTCTAAAAATGGTAATCAATGATAACTATTAGGTGCCGAATGACGACCCGATTTGCCAAGAAATAATTATCGTTTACTATATTAACTGATGTTATTATATCGTAAGATGTCTCCAATTTTCAAGTCATATGATTAAGGAGATAGCATAGCTTCAGCGTAAACAGCTAGCATACAATAATAATGATGGAAAACAATGTCTATAAAAATAGCAATAATGATAATGGTAATGATAATAATAACAACAATAAATAATGAACCAGATAAATATATAAACAACACATTAATTAAATAAAACAGATAAATAAATAATGCATCAATTCAATAAATAGATAAGTAAATAAACAGCAAAACAGATAAACAAATGAATAATAAATAAATAAAATAAACAATAACAATAATGTCCACAAAAAACAACAATAATAAGGATGATGACAACATCGATAGAAAACAATAATGACAATGACAGAAATGAAAGGCCCAGAAAAGAAAATGCAATAAAGATACGAGAACAGTAGACAGAAATAAAAAAAGCTTTGAAAAAAGTAACAAGCCACTGACGCCTAGTGCTTGCTGCACGCGCAAAAACCTCTAACACGTAAATTGGGAAGATGAAGAGAGTTGAATGACAGACAACAGCATGTCCAGTTCCGATTGGATTACAGACGCGGCAAAGTTCAAATAATAGCTCCTTGCAAGACACATGGCAACAGTTGCAACCAAATAGTTCGATTTGTTGTAGCAAGCTGTTAGGAGGCTCGGAACAACCGTACTAGAGCCTCGAGATTCTCACTTAATGTGCCTTAAAAGTTGCGTCTTTGCTTACATCAAAATACCCTTAAATTGTTCAGTTCACTTTTTTTTCCGGGAATTTCCATCTGGAAATTGCTTGAGGTGCAATATTGATCGTTGTTGTCAAATTCGATGAAAATTAGACTATAAATACGAGAGAATGGCAGTCATTGTGTCATTTTTAATATTTTACACATCCCGAGAGGCAGCTTGTCTAGCTCCATGTATTACTAATCACATCTTGCTGTACCGCGTAACTCATCCATTTTTCCCATTCTTAAAGTCAACCTTTTTCAGAAATGTAAACATCATTTTCTAACATTTTCTCTAGGCATTTCATATCAGCATTAAACAGTCCAAATTATTATCAGCTTCTCATCTTTTTATACTACAGCTTCCAGCTTTTCTGATTGAAAAAAAGTGGTTTTAAGGTTTACCAGAAGAGAGAAATTCCGGAAAGTAAGAAGAAATTTTCAAGGGAAAATAAAACCTGAAATTCTTGAAGAAGATAAAAACAAAGCAGATTTCGATGATTTATTCATTAACTCTGGAAAAACTTTTAAAAAAAATAAAGACAAATAATATTCGCTTACAGTGAAAAGAAAAAAATGGAAGACCAGTTAGAAAGAGATAATTCACCACAAGCATTCGATGCTGAGGATGGAGATGGAAGCTCAAATACTGAAACAAACAGTGCTATATTGGAACGTTTACGCGAAATTTTGAAGCAATGCGAATCGACTATTGAAGATCTGCGCCAAACAGTAGCAACGTTAAAACATAATATTGAGGAACAATGTGATGAAATTGTACGCTTAAAAAATTTAAACAGCAATACTCATAAGCCGGTGAGTTCATGTCTTTAGGTTTACGGAAATAATTTGTTATCAATATTGTGCTCTTTTCTGGTATTACCTGTTATTTTTGCAGCAAAATTCACCAATCTCATTACCGTTTGAGCTTATCAAGATGATCTTTTATCTGTGTGATGCCCTTACACGATGTCGCATTTGTTGCAGTAATAAACGGCTTTTTTTTTTAAAATAAATCTTTGGAATAGTAATTACATAAATTATTGCTACTCAGCGAAAAATGAACAATTAATTGATATCGAAGTGAATTTTAAAAGAGTTAAATTAACAAATGTAAGAACAAGTTTTGCAAGTGAATTAAACATGGTTAGCAAACGTAAGTTTTAAAAAGTGGCAGCTAATGCATGTTACTAAGTAAACTTTATGAATTAAATACTAAGTATTTAATTTCTTGAAAAAATTTAGATTGACTAAAGAGTTGAGCAGCTGGGTTGATGTTCAACACCTTTACTTACCAAGAGTACCAACTGAAGATGAAGCAAACAAAACCGTTGATTGATACCATTCTATTCTCATGGACACAAATATGTTTGATGAAATCCGTTCATAAACGTTCAAGAGAAAATATTTTAGGTTGTGACAGATATCTATCAAACTGTCACCAATTCTCCTGCAGTAGGCATAATTCGTATCACTAAAGCTATCCCGATGCTCTATAATATCCGGTCATTTTTCTGTGTTTTATAAGACAATACATTACTGTTTTATCCCAGGAAATAGCTAAGTAAATTGATATATTATATTCACCAGATGCAATGATTAGTGAAATAATTTTGTCCGTAAGATAAAATTGAGTATTTCGTAAATGATCCCAAAAAAAGTCTTGAAAAGACCAAAATAATATTACAGCAATGTGAAAACAATCCCGGTACAATCTTCAACAGTGCGATTTTTAGATCGTTGCAATAAGATAACAGAAGAGGGCTTTTTGCTTTGTCACGAAAATTAGAAACCGTAAAATTATGCAGTATACGAGAAAAATTTTGCAAATGTTTACATTAATTTCTAGAGTAAATATATGGTAAACATTCTATGCCACATGTGTACATCTGTATTTGTCTGATACAAAATAAATAAAATAAGTCCAAAAAATTTAAATTATGTCGAAAAGCTGCAAATATCAAAAAAAATTCATTCGTTGAGACTAAAAGTGAAAACTGAATAACTCTGGGACTGAATGGTTGGAAGTAATAATTATTTTTATTTAAAAATTTGATAAATGAAAAATACTGTTCATCAATAAATAGATTTGGATTTTTCAATCTTGTTTATACTTTGAGCGATTTCCTCACATTGCCAAATCTTTATACGCTCTATATCCAAAACACTAACATTAGCTAATGTTCCACCAGTGGATAAAATCTGCGCTCCAGCCAGAAGAAGCTGCTACAGCTAAGTAATGCATCTATTTTATTTTGAATTAAAAGAAAAAAAAAAAAAAAAAAAAAGAAAAACAAAGGTAATGGACATTGGAAATTATGTTCTTCATGATAACTTCCATGCAAAGAAATGCGCAAGACAATTTAGAGGCTTCAGTTATATATAAAATATATAATTAAACTAATTTGATCATTTATACGCTTAGAATCGTAGTGCTACTGTTATAGAAGTAGCAGAAACAATGACTAATATGGAACATTTGAGTCATTTGACGCTTGCGAGAGCTTTTCTTAAGGTAAGTTAACAAAAAAAAAGAAATCTGTAAAAATTCAGGTATAATCAAATTTATAAATTAAACCAAGAACATATTCTTTCATTTATCTGCACCGAAAAAAAGCGGAAATTTCAGCTTCGACAAGCGAACAAATATTTGAGCTCTTAAAAATATTCCATTCACTGTCAAGAATAACATTTGAAACATTAATTTTAAATGATTTCGTACAACTTGCAAATGTTCATCTATCGCCATCAGTAGCTTTGTTACCTTATCCCATTTATTTTCCTCAACGTTTAAAAATCATTTTTTTTTTTTCAGAGGGCTAATTAATCTTTTATGAGAATTATCTATTAAAATTTCAGACCAATATTTTTAACTGGCAACAGCAATCATTTTCGTAAGGGAGTTACTTAAATGAAATTAGAAATCATGAGTGTAGTGCATAATATAATATTTTGATGATCTCAATGAAATATGAAATTATTGTGTTCGTTAAAGTCTTTCAAAGAACAATGTCTGTAAATTCTTTGTTATTTTTAGGTAAAACGAATAACAGAATCAATCAAAATCGATCCCTCATGGTGAATCCACCTAATTCAATTTCTATGGAATTTTTTGACGTTTTCACGATGATAATTAGTTCAATTACTGATTGCAATTTAAAATGTAATTTTCTTTTTCAATCGAAAACACAAGAAATAAAATTACTGCATTTCAGCTACTACAACATGTGTGCTGTAAAGTACGACGTGAGATCACGTTCCAGCTTTAAATTTCCAATTGAGTCTTGTATGTATTTTGACCAATAAGATGCCACCGTTGCGGTTTGGAAGGCGAAAAAATGATTGCGGTGTACTTTCTCTGGAAAGGACATATCCTCATACGTAGAGAATATTTAAAGATAAATGATATAAATATTGATGGGATTATGTGACGTTTACTAATAAATGAACAAATCAATAAATCATGTCTGTTAAATCATTAATACCAATTTATCTAATGACAGTGATAGAAGATCAGGACAATTTAGGATAAAACTATCAAAGCAATCCATTATTAGCTTGGCTTCACTTCTTACAAATATGATGCTAAGACTTCATACCACTGATAATTTGAAGCTTAATGTTTTGTTTTACTTCACATTATACGAGTAAGTCACTATGGTACAGTAAATGAAGACGAGAATTGAAATTTATATTGAGATAAGGTGCGAATGAATATTAAACATGTTTTAAAGTTATTAATTATCAGGCACCTTTCGATCGATCAATGGGGAAGAAAACGTATGTTGGAAGTTGCAGAAAATATCGCTTTCATTGTTTTCGCATAGAGCAATAAATCTTCCACAATTTCATCGTTTTTTTGAAATCTTTTTTGTTGGGAATTTGTAAATTTCGGATTTCGACTAATTAATTTTTTCAAACCATTCTCTCTAGTTAAAATGTTGAACTGTACAGAGACTGAAGCACAAATTGTTAATAAGTTGATTTGCCAAGTTAATTGTTTTGTCGATAAATATATCTGTAACAATAAATTAGTTAAGAAAATTTTGCTGTTGTTTACTTACTAAACATACCATTCTTTCTGAACAGAAATTAATTTTTAGACGTTCTTTCTTTTTACATCTTTTCACACTTACTGATTTTGTTTCTTTATCTATATATCTTTTTTACAGGTTAAGATGATATCTTTGTTCACTTTTAAGGAAACATATTGCAAGAGAATAAGTTCCGTTTTTCCAATTTTGACTTTTACATATGCAACAATGTAAGAATATATGTTCCATCTAATTATTTTGGCTATATTATTAACTTCAGGCTAACAAAAAACTTTATTAAGAGTAGAGCTGTACAAGGGATAATTTCAAGTATCATCCACTTTTAATTCTCCTGTACACTATTGTCCCAGATTATGGCTGTCCCATACATATCCATCGGGAAGAAATTGTCCCCATCTATTAGAAAAAAGTTTTCCACATTTATTGCTGTGAAATATGAATCAAACTCGAAAAAACGAAATAACGGCATAAATATATTATTAGATCCTTCCCAAAAAATATAGATCCATAATTTAAACTTATTAATTTCAACTAAAACTTGTAATTTAACTTCCGTCTAATCTAATAGAATTGTTTTGAGACTGTCACATAGCTCTACCTGCACAAAAATTTGATCATTATCTTCAATATTGATGCATCGATTAGAAACACTTTAAAATTTCCATGTTGTTTCAGCTTAAACGATAATTTGATATCACAGTATTATTTCCCTAACTTCTTTTCAGGTTAGGATGACTATTTATTAAAAAGTTTTCTGAAGTTCTACGTTCAATTAAGTTCAACAATATAAAAAGAATATTCATTCAAGGGTGCCACGCATCATGCATCCCACAACTTATTCGCACTTATTCTATGTAACAATGAACTCACCATTATAAAATTAAATGAGCAGTTTAACTGCTTCATTTTGAAAAGATTGATTAAATGATTGAAATGTTCATCGCAAGTATGATTATAATAATATCTTTTATAAATGATTATAACAATAATAAAGTTCAAGATATGGAAGGAAATTGCTGGAGGTGCTACTGGTTTTCCAACTGAACCAAATTTAGAAGTTAGCAAAGAATGAAAAGAATCAGTTCTTTGATGATATTTTAAAGCGATACATACATTCTTCAAAAATGACTAGCTTTTTCAACAATTTCAAGGATCAGATAACGTCATCTAATATTCTTATCAGCAGTAGTTAACGATGATAAGCAATATCACTTGGATTTATCATTGTTTATCGATTATTGCAAAAGATAATTGAAATTTTAACAACAATATCGAGTTGCTCCAATCAAACAGTTTGAGAAAGCCAATCCGCAATAACGATAGCAGCAATCAATTTTTGTTTCATATCAGAAAGATTGCGATCACAACAAACAGGTAGATTCATAAAAACAGAAGGATGAAACAGGAAATTATATCTAGCCAAATCAAATTTGTTCGGAAATTAATTCATGAAGATGAAATGTATCAGAGAGTATGAAATGACAATACCCACTGTTATAGTAATTATCCACCATTGCTAATCTTTCGTCGTTTTTTTCTTCGCCGAGGGCTACCGACTGATTTAATTTAACAAAGCGGTAATCTACGAAGGTAGTCGGGTATCTATCATTTCATTTTACATATTTCCTTTTTATTTTTCAATTCTACAAATGCACCTTTTTTCCGACATTTTACATCGAATTGATTAATTAATTGCCATACCAAATAGCAAATATCTCTCCTTTATACAAAAAAAGCTTTATTAAAATCTCAAAAAATAAGATTGAATATCACTAGCAGATTACTTCCCTTACCACATAAGCATCGAGATTTTCATATTTCTTTCTCTCACGGAAATGAATTACTTTTTAGCTTTTCCCTCCATTTATTGTACACTCCCTTCCAATTCCCATAAAAGTTCTTCGTAATTTATTTGTCAATATTGTCAGCTATTAATTATTAGCTGGGCAAAACACACACAAACAGTATGCGCATAAAACTTATCGATATTCTTTCCAATCAAATAAATTGGATCTCAGGGAATAAATAAAACATTGATGACATCCCAATTAGTGATCTCACATTTTGCTACCTTTCTTCCCCTTTATTAATAATAACTTACTGCCCAATTTTTGCTAACTTCAGAACTCTTTTGTTGTGTTATAAAAATTGTTCCTATATTTAAAAGAAGCGAAATATTAAATCATTTTTGCAGTTCAAAAATTGTTTTATTTCAGTTTTTATTACAATTTATTAGAACATTCAGGACGAAAAAAAAAAAAAATGAAGTTAAGAAATACACAAAAATCAAAATTTTCTGCTATCATTTCAGCAGCTCTTTTTTCTTTTACTTTTTTCAAAAAAGTGAAGAGAATAGCAAAAATCTTAACCTAATTTAAATTTGATTGAAGAGAATAATTCCTAGACGGTATGTGTATACTATCGTCAGCTGTGCTTTATATATCCGTCAAATTCGTATTTGGAGAAGATTTATCATTAATGGAAGGAGCTTTTGAATTTGACTGTTCTCGAATACCTGCCACGTACTGCTGTACAGCACGTGTCCGAACAGTCTGTGAGACGCGATGCTCTAATATCCATTGTGATTCAGATTTTTATAGACAAGGTTCGTTTTCTTATCTTAATTAGCAATTTTTTTTATATGCGTGCAAGTGTAGTTTTGTAGTTTTAATAATTGCAAACTTTTTATTTACTAACAGCGCATAGCAAGAAGCATTATGCAATTGTATCCAAGTCATTTCATAATTAGATTGGTAATAAATAACATCATAATTTGGAGAGAAAAATTTAATTTGTTTTTGAAAGCAAAAATAATTTTTTTTTTCAGTTAAAAATTGAGCAATGTAAGATATCAGTTGACGCTATAAATAGTTTATGACTAAGTGACATTAAAATATTACAAATAAACTTGTTAAATCAGTGCAAACCAAAGCACAGCGATAACTTAAAACAGTAAATTATGAGTATAAACTGTTTAAAATTTAATTTGATAAATCTATTTTTAAACTGACATGAAAATTTCATTTCATTACTTGCGAATGTCACCGTTTACTCATCTATCAAAACATCTATCACAGTTAATGAATCTATGAAGCATTCTATTAGAGGTTAGTTTCAAATTTGCGAAATAAATTTAATTCTATGATTAATCTAGCAATTTTGTCTCGCAAAAAAAGAAATATTCAGATAAGAAAATGAAACAGCTGATAGTTAGACCAGAAACGATTTACAAAAATGGTTTAAACGACGGTGACACAGCAAACTTGCGTAGTGACAGTGAAATGGTACTTCCTTTAAAATATTTTGTAGCTAAAAATATATTTAAGTATTAAAGTTAATATTTTTTGGTCATTAATGTAGCTCCCACTTTTCATTTTGATTTTCGAAGACTTAATAATTAAGAGTTGCATCATCCATGCGAGTCACATTTGTCATCTTAAATACTATAATGCATGTCATGTGAACAGCTATACCATATCATCGTCCATTCTTCATGTTTTCATCCTTTTCTACCTTATCATTTATCTCAACACAGTGACTAGTAAGTTTTTTCATCATTTTAATTTGTCATTGGAAAAGAATAACTGCGAACCTGTAAATCAAATTTGACATACAAATTAACAACATTGGTAGGTACTATCGATGTATTTCTGTTTAATAGAATATCACAGTAATAACTTATCTACCTGAATAACAATGATTATGATAATACTTATAATGTTATAGAAATTGATTCAAATAATGTGCAAATTTAAGCTCAACATCTAGAAGCATAGAAATATATGACGCCGTATTATAACATAAAAACGTATAATTTTGAGAAACTTCAGGAACGGTCAAGCCAAAAATCGCTGTCTCGAAATGTACTCAAAAAACGATACTTACCTGTTCCAACAAACAGTAACGAGAATGAATCACTGATAGGCATGTCAAGTAGTGAGGATGATAAAGCAACAGAAGATGTAGTACCGTTTGTCACAGCAGCAATATCATCGTCTAATTCTGACTTAGATTCCTCTAATACGTTAGATCCTCAATCACTGTTAACTGCAGGTAACAGATTATAATTATTTTCCTCTTAAAAATTTGAATATATAATTAAAGATTTTGTTCAACATAAGTGCTCTCAATATTTTGAATACTGTGTAAAATATTGCGTATGCTTACGTTATGAATGATCAAATGATTTCTTGCATTTATTTACCGTTGTTTTCCCCCTTTCTATTACCTCGATTGAAATAATTAATAAACTACTTACAATTGTTTAGATATTCAAATATTAATCATTAAATAAATACTCCTATTTAGACTAATAAATTTGTTTAGTTCAGGAAGGCTTACAAAGACAACATTGGGGAATACGTTCGTTTGAAATAATATATCATGTAACTCCATCATTAAATTGGCTACACAATCGTAATTTCATGGGCTCTAATAGCAGCTTGGCGAAGTTGAATAAGGGTATGAGATTCTAGCAAACCACAACTTCACTTAATGAAAATATTAAGTTTAATTAACTTCACAAAAAAGTACTGATATATTCTTAGTAACTAATTACTAATGACTAATGATAAGTTACAATAATTGGAGCTCTAAAGACATAAAAATTTAAATGATTTTTTCAAAGTGAAACATTTACAGCAGAATGTGGCACAGCACCACATTTTTCACCATGTATGTCAATTTCACAAGCAAATATTCAATTTGAACAATGTTGTCGAAACAAAATGCTTCCAACGAGTTGTCAACATTCCTGCAAATATAATGTGAAAGAAAGTGAGGTAGAACATTTCGACTTTACTAGTAACAGATACCGTAGTAATTCGCGGTTGCTGTTATGCCTCAAGTCTCATAAAACATTGTGAATTTTAAAATTTAAGATAAATAAGATTATCGGTGCAGGCTTTTGCGCAATTTTACATATCATACCAATTGCTCAGTGTGCTTCAAATGGACGCGACAACAGTGAATGCTGCAAATACAAACAAGTAGCAACCAAAAGGTTATATATAAATCATTTAATAAATGATTTAAATTAATAGGATCCGTTCATGTTGATTTGCATGAGAAATTATTTATATGAGAAGTATGAACTCCTTAAACGATGTAGTATGAAACTTAAGAAAGAGCAGATGACTTATTTCTAGAAATACTGATACGAATAAGTTATGACAAAGCCATGACAGTAACACTTATTGTAGCATTAGTTTGTAAATAAAGTCGTGCAGTTATAATCAGGTGAATGACAAAATCATGATTTGCAGCGCGCCGCAATGCGAAATATTTTGCCGTTCCGGACAAGAAATAGCAAGAGTTGGTTTGGAACACTTGGTTTGCCGAAAAGCAATGAATGAAATCATTGCTTGCCACTTATCCGGTTTAAGAAATTAGTACTGCTCGAACTTAAATTGTGCTTAAGCACAACTTTGACTAAAAAAAAAATATTGTAAAACCGGAACAACGAGTGCCAGTTAAAAAACATCGGCAAATTTATTACCAAATAAATTCAATAGATACTTTTATCAATGATGTGCCGCTTTTAGTCTCGGTCTCCTTCAGAAATTGGGGCTTAACCGCCATAATACGCCCTTGCATACCACAATATGATTTTAGCTGTAAGACTTTTCTTAACATTCCAACATAAATCAGATAGGACAGTCTATCTGCAAATATCAAAATATCAGTCCCATATAACAAAAAAAAAAAAATACTTCCCAAACATGAAACTACCAGCCCCAACATGGTTATATGGTTTTGTCAGTTATTTGATTATCGACAACTAATGCAAAGTTTAATTCAGAGCTCACCTTTTCCAGTTCATATATTGCCTTTGGGAAACGATAATTGATTAACCACTTACCATCGTTCGCTTTTCGAATTGTTGACGGTTCACAAAAGGAAATACACATTATGATAACTTTACTAATTTGATCTCAAAAAAAATATTCTTAAAATTTTACTGCTGTTGGACTTAGTTGTGAGGACTGCATGTAATTATATTTTATTGCAAAAATTTTCAACTCTTCAATGACCAATTCTAAAATAAAAGTGACTCGTATCATTAACAAAAAACAAAGAAATTGATAGCTAAATATGAAATATAAAAAACTCATTTTAGTTACTTCTAAACTGATTTTTTTATATTTGTTTTCATTTTTTGATATTGATACTCTTAACCGAATACTGCGTATGTGATTGGAACGGAAGGAATAAGTATACACAACAAAAGAGTTAATTTTATTATTCTTTTACATATATACATATCATACAAGAGTGAGGTAAGACGATATTTCTAATTCTCACCTGAAATGGTCATCGAAGCTTATGCAAACGAAGAGTATGTCGCGTCCAACTATATAACCCAAATGGAAGTTTTCTCTGAAAAACTCTATCCCAATTTGATAAAAAGACAAAACAAATCGCTACTGAAACATGGAACTAAATAAGGTGCTGAGATAAACCAGTTATTAGGGGTCAAATTTTCACCGTAAAATACAATCGTTCATGCTAAAAACTTATCTAGAAACCATCATTCTATGTCATTCCATCATTCTATGAAATTTTTTAATGTGAAAGTTTTAATATGAAAATTCACCATGTTTAATTTATAGAATCGCTTAGAATAATATAAAATTGATATCAGCAATTCAAAATGCCTTCCAAAATTCCCAGACCTTTTTAAACTAAAAAAACAATGTAGACTGATTCAAAATTTTTCCACGAAAATTAAATAATAGGAAATTAATTTCGATTAGTTTCATTCAAAATCTCTAATATTCTCAGAAACAGATTAATAATTTCTAAATACAACGATACGCATGCTTCGATATAATCTTCAGGTGAAGTGTGATGCATGATACGATCAATATCGAATACCAAATATATGGAAAATAAAACAGCACCAAATGCAGCCAATAAAAAATCAAATAATACTGACGGTATAAGTAGCTGTAAAAAAAGGAAAAAATGCTATTTCGTTGTTTAAATATTACAACTACTTCTGAAAGTAATTGGATAATAGCTTTTTGAAATATCTATTTGTTTCCAAATAAAAAATCACCTCATTATAACGAAGTAATAGATTAAACTGATAATGCTACAATATGCATGCATGTAATATCAACAAATTGTACTCAAATAAAATTCAGCTGAAATTAAAAATCACTTTATTGCTTATTGCACTAAGATTTAGATGGAAATAGTTTCTAACAGTTTCTACTAAAAAGAAATGCTTACATGCACAAAGATAGCAGCCAGGAAAATCATGGAAATACTGAATAACGCAGCCCAATGGCTTTGGAAATCGCGTTTTGATTGAAGTGTATAAAAGAAAAGGCCAATAACAGTCAATGCTGTTAGACCAACTGCCTCAATTACGATCTTTACGTCAAAGAAAGAAACTGAAGTTTACCGTAATACAAAAACTCCATAAATGTATATTTTCATGCATTTTTCGATGTTCTGAAGACCTGAAATTTATACCAACTACTTTAAAAACATTGGCACTTCTTATACTAACAGATATGATAATGCATGCCACTAGAGGTATCAGCTACTTCATGCTGGAACTTAGTATAATTTAAGTCTCATCTAAAACTTAATACTGTACAGAAGCGTAATTGCTGCACAATGTTAAATTTGAAAGCAATTCCAAGTTTGCCTAAATATTCACGACGAGGACAGAGTTTAGCAGAATACCCAATTTTAAAAATTGAGCTCGCATAAACTAAAGCTTTGGTGCCATCTCTTTTTCAAATAATATTCCATTTAAATAAAGATGACATACATTCATTATCACTGATTTAATCCCTTTCTAGCTGGTCATCAGAACAGAAAAATTACAAACACAATGGTCAACAATGAATCTTCTTGGCTGACTGCACAAAATATTGCTTTAAGACCTTACCAATAGCACCTACAGTAATGGATTGCATGATAGTCCAAAACACCAATAATATGTAATTGAGAGGTACTGAACGGGCGTGAATAAACATTGCGAAAAGTAAAATGAATGAGCCGATGAGTGAAACAAATACAATCCACAACCTAAAACACGCTGGGTTTTCTTTTACGCAGGGATTTTTTTTTTTTTTCTTTTATTCTGAAATGAAATCAAGAACTATACTGAACATATACATGCACCATCCTTCTGAAACCGACTAATCCTTTTTTTGAACTAATTTTAATATTTTCAGTTTGATATGGTATCTTTTTCATATCCTGATTATTGCGGCACTTTTTCCCAGTTTCCAAAGGAACGAATTTAGCCATTTTATTAGCTAATTCTTTTTTTAGACCAAATTCTAAATTCCTTTTTTTAGCAACCGTTATAATAACAACTCAGAACTGATTAGTCAGAAAAGTAAACGAGACAGATAAACAACTACAGGTCTAAATAGCATTGAAGCAACAAATGCATTGATCATATTAATCTCTTCTAAAGTTTCACTGCCAACCAGTTCTTGAAAATATTTGAACTATAAGTGCTTGAAAAAAAAAAAAAAAAATATTTGAACGAAATGAGTCAAACAAACGACTAACATTGCTGAACTTAACGTGAAAAAATTGAGGAGAAACAATGAGTTCCTACCAATATAGACATGTCATAAATTAATTCAAAAAAAAGAGAACTCACTGTTGTTGCAGAAAAAGACGAATTTCCAACGTTACATACAATGCCATAAAAATACAGCTGTAATGAGTAGCTGCAAAGATAGTATACCAAATACTTCTCGTAGAAATCCTGGAAGTTATCTAAATTACGAGAAAGTCTGAATAAAACAGCATAAGATTCTTTAACTCGTCCTTCATATATCAAGAAAAATTGTACACAGTATATGTAAACAAAACAGTAACAATTACAGTTATGATGACAAATAGAAAAAACTGATAGCATTTTTTACTACTTAACTTAGGATTTCTGTTATCTACAACTAAACCGGTGATAAATCATTCGAAATATTCTAGTGATGAGACAGGGAATAAAACATAACAAGCAAGATGATACCTAATCTAATAGCGACACTGGCAAATACAACAGGTGTAAAATTTGCAGTCGCCTTGGCGAAATTAAAATCAAAAAACCAATGACGTTGCAATGAACGATCCTGCAATGTCCATTCCACATCCACTGCTTCCTTATAACTGGGCGGTGAACCAAGTTCGATATTTTTCTCCAGCAGTAATGGTACTGTTGCTGACATAATTCCGTTAGATAACTGAAATCTCACGAGAATTACTCCCTCCTTCAAAGTATTCATTTCAAATTCTCCCTCTCATATTACTCTTATTTTCCAGTCCTCATCACTTGACACCTTCGTTGTCACCCACAACCCATAGAAAACTCACCGCACATAAACCAACAGTCCACCCTCCTTACCAACCACCAAATCTCTTCCCGCACCTGTAACCATTCTCCAGGCGCAGACGGTCGTTCCAGAAATCGTTACTTTATATTACAGCTCGATTCTATCAGCTTATGTTACTATTCCTTTAAAACCAAAAGCCAGGATAATTGATATTAGGGTTAATCGGAAGATAACTTATCGAATCTTACGTGGTCCATTGCTCATTCTGCTTCATTTTTTCGTCTATTCCATCTTATAGTACATACTATTTTCGGAAATTCTAGCAACTAAAACTTAATATTTCAATTTTATTTTGCCTGCAAGGAAAGAAGAACGATTTATTGAAGTGACGAGCAATAGAGAACTATGGCAAATAACAACACAAATAGAATTAACAAAATCACAAAATGAATTAAAATTTTTATTCATATAAGCTCTTTCTTCTTGTAGATGCTTAGTTCATAATAAGATCAGATCTCACTTTTCTTTTCAAATTAAATTATGAATTAAATAAATGCAGAGTGAAAGAGCATAACTTTCAGTGAATGATTCCTTTTTGCAGTGTCAAGGAAAAAAATTTAATTTATAATGAGCAAAACGAAAATTTTAGGTTTCAGTTATCAAAAAAGCAAATTGCTTTTACAAATTGTTTTCCATTTATCTTCATTTAAGCATCCAATTCCTGATTGCCATCTCTTTTCCATCCATTTTTGTAATTTCTAAACTTCTACTAACAACATTTCGTCGCCCGCATCTTACTGAACGTAATCCATCGGAATTTTCACGCCGAACAATATCACAATCAATTTTCATTGATTTTTTAAAAATCTTTAACCTTTTTATCATTGTATAGAAATTGTGAGGATGAATTTCTTTCTTTCATTCTGCAATTATTTCAGTATTCATTCACTTTAAAAAATGCTTTTATTCAACTAATTCCTATTCTTTTGAAAGATTGATTACTCATTTCGTAAAGATAGATCTGCTAGATTATTCAAATTTATTTAATTTGATTTTCTCCAGAGGGTGACATACGAATGTCCATCAGATTGTCAAGAGAAAAGAAAATCCTGTATTTTTGGACTCTAATTTCAGCTCGTTTTCAAGTCCTTGAATAATTTTCGCAAAATTACCAGAATTTAGTTGTAGTCTTATAATAAATATCCTGCAGATTCTTCATTGCTCTCATCTAAAGTAAGAATCTGTTTCGATTCATTGTCAATCGCTTGCTGAATATGATGCCTATAATTGCATTCAAAAGTTGTTAACACTTAAAATATTTCTTTTCCCTCAGTATCCTATTGAATTTCCCGAAAACATCCATTTAACACTAAGTTTCAAGTCGCTGTACTAAACCCGCAAATTTTGCGCTCAATTCATGAAATTTAAATAAAATAACCTCATCAGAGATGCAGACGACGCTTCATCACTCTTATCTTGTAATTCCGGTACGTTAAGCAAACTATAAGCAACTAATTAATTTCGTAACTGAAAAAAAAAATTCAAAACTATCCCAATTTGTTAAAGATGATATTTTGCCTAATTTTAAAACATAATCAAAATATTTCATATTAATCAACTGGCCCTAAAATTGGATTGCGTTTGAGCTGGAGACTCATACTCAGCCGTTTATAAATATGAAAATAAAGAATAAAATGGGGTGATTGTTTCCAATTTTTCAAATTTGCAAAAATGCACGAAGAATTTTAATTGTTTTTGAAAATGAGGCAAAATCTCCTTGAAAGCAGAACTGTTAATTTTTCATGGCATATTCATTATTTCAACTATTGCTTTTTCAACTTTGATTAGATTTACTTTAATCAAATTAAAACGCGTGAAAGCAAACCCTTCTTCCAACTTATTGACCCAAACCAACGAGGTTAGACCAATAATCGCTGATAGTTCCTGTTTATGTGATATTCCCGCACCAACTCTGTAAATTTTCTGATTGAATTTTTTAAATGACTCAAGCAGTTTTAAAAATATGAGAGAAAATTGAAATTTATATCGAAGTAACTTTGTCATATGTCTAGTAGGACCGAATTTCACAATATTGTCTTCATTATTAAATTTCGAATTGAATCGTTCTACACTTTTTAGCAAGCCAATTTCATTTGTTCTACAGAAAAAGAGTATCACGTTTGTTAAATCTCGTAGAAAATATGACTAATAAATGGAATTAAACTTCTGCAGATTATGCGGTGCATGCCCTGCATTTTTTCTTTTCAGCCTTGACGTTATTTTATGCTTGGCTTTTGGTACTTAGTTGATCTATGTGACATATGCTGCTAACGAATAATATATGTGTTTATGAATAGTTAACAATTCGATTTTATTAAAATTGCCAAATGACAATCTTTTAAATGTGTTTTCCTCCACGCCTTTATCTGTTATCATTTCTTTTCCTTGTTCTAAGATTGTTTCTATTGGATTTGCTGATAACTTGATAGAAGCTTCTTTTACAAGTTCTATTGCTACGATGAAGAAAAAAAATAGAAAAACTTTGAAAATTCTTGAGCTTAACTTAAAATACTATCTGGAGAAAAAAAAAAAAAAAAAAAAAACTAGATAAGAGTAAATTAATGAAAGTATAAAGTTGAGTTGATAAGTGAAACAATCAATATGATAACGTATACTTAGGTTTGTCTTAAAAATTTGTTGGATTCATTGTGCATGAACGATTAGCTGCGAATGATACAGTCAATTAATCATCTTCTATATGCAAGATTTGCATAGATGATTAATAATAGATAGATCGTCACGTGAGAGGTGAGATATCGGATAATCAAATAGGAAGTATTATTGCTACAATATGAAATAGTATAAATCATAGCTAAATAAATCAGTGTGTCAATTAAACTGATTTTCTGGTTAACTTTTCTTGCAATTTCTTATGCGAAGCTGTGAAATTAATCCAGTAAAGAAATGGATGAATGAAATAAAAAGAACAGTTCTGAAAGCATTAATAAGTTCACTTTCTGATAGAAGATGATAGATTTCTGGGTAAATTCGAGCCAACAATCAAATGATTCGACTGAAATATCCTTTGGTCATTTACTTCAGCCATCCAGGCTCGTCGGCAACGAAAATAACAGTATATGTTGTAATTGAATAGTATTGTGTAACTAATTACAAAAATCCTAAAAAAATTTTCTACTGTAGTTTTTACTTCCAATTTAATAATTTCGAATTTATTGAACAAATGGATAGAAATTTTAAAAGGGAGAATTGATACGTTTATTTATTAAGAAAAATAATTTGCTGCGATACTGACTTTAATTTGCACAGTAATATTTGGTCTGATTACCATCCAATTTCTCAAACTCAAGAAAACTTGCTAAAAAAAAAAAATTGAGAGAAGAAATAATTACACTATGTTCACACAAATTACTATAAGGCATCGTTCGGTAGGATTTTCACGAATTAATTTCTGGATAGTAGCTAGTTGCTTTTTAATCTCTTTCTCGCTTCGTGGCATCACAATTCGGATTGTTTTTCCGAATAATTTCCATGTGTATGAGTGCTGAAATTAGGGTAAGTCTTTGGAATTTAACTTTCTTTTTGCATTATAATTCATTAAATTAATGCAATTTTTCTAGGCGAACTCAATTTGGCAAAGTTAATGCTTCAAATTTGCTTTGGACAGTGGTGGTGGCTTACTATTATGAGAGAAAAAAATTTAAGTTTGAACTTTTTTTCGAAAGGAAACACCTTGCCATCAAAAAATCCTGCGGTTGCCCAAAAAGTTTTGTTGTATACTTCTTCGACTAATCGTTTTACTTTTATCCATATTTGATTAATTATTCCTTTTGAAGACGATTGTTTCGGCTTATTCTTATCTGTGCTGAAATTTAATTTAAGCAAGCACTTTTTAAGTCTGATAAATTGTTAAAATGATCTAACTAGCTTAGCTTAGCTTCAAAATTAAAATAGTAATGAAATTATTTCATCGTGATGGGAAAAAAATTTATAAAAGTATCAAAGTCAATAAAATTTCAAAAATTTACTCACTAAAATCACAAATACTGATGTTCTATTTATAAAAAATATTTTATGTATACATTCTAAATATAATTTAAATAATATTTTATGAAATGAGTCAAATTGCTCATTGATGAGAGATTTAAAAGAAAAAAAGAAAACACAACCTATTAAAGTCCTCTTTTTTGGTTTGCAAAGCCTTTTTTGATGATACAGTGATTATTTCAGCCGCAATGGCTAAGATTATTGTCAAAAGCCATAAGTTCATTCTTTGGACCGAATATTCATCGAGTTGAAATGTTGAGATTTTGTTAATTAATTGTTTTATCCTTATATAAGCAATATATCTTTGGCCCCACCATTTAGCAATTGCTTTCTCTAAAATTAATAATGTGCAATGATGCAATAATTTAATCAGATTTATTTTGAAAATTGTATTCAACTAATCAACCGAAAGCGATAAAATTGTAGAAGTTGCGAATAATTTAACCTCAATCCTAAACGTTACAATCCAAAAAAAAAAAAAAAAAATAAATAACAGAATGTGCAGAATTGATTAGCAAGCGATTAGTTGAGGATCAATGAGATCTTATTGTTCAGTCATTCTGTATATGTAGTTTGCATCGATCAAAGTTAATTTTCTTACCGCCAAAATATATATTACCTCGTGGAGAATCCGTGATGATTCACAACAAGTAAGCGATATTTCTTGAAAGCTTCCAAGCAAATAAAAGTGAAATAATCAAAATACAATAAAAAAAAAAGATTCATAAAGTTCGACTTGTTGCAAATGGAATTTCATTTCTCATTGCAAGTTAAAATTTATTTCTTCATTTTCAACAAAATATTGTCGATGAAAACTTTGACGCCAAGCATCAGTCTTACTTTTTAATAAATATATTGCTGGAATCAGCTGACAGAAATTTGATAGGAAAAAAATGTCAGAAAGAAATACAAAAATAATGTCAGAAATTATACAAAAAATAATTATACAAAAATAATGTCAGAAAGAAAGAACGGAAAATCTCACTACTGCTGTTCATAATTAAATATTTTACATGTAAAAGGAACTGTTAATCATTAATCATTTTCTTGTGCAAAAATCATATTTCAATTTAAAAGTGAAGTTTTTTTGCGAAGAATTAAGTTTGAAGGAAAAAAAAATCTGAAATAATACGAAAAGTCTCATTAAGCAAAGTATCTATAAATTTGGAGCATTTAATTGCATTGAAAATCTTGCCAGATTTGAAATAAACACTATGAACAATAATGGAATTTTGGGAATTCTAAAAGGGAAGTGGAAAATAAATTACTACCTAAAAGACGAATAGTAGTATTATTTAAATATTAACACCACAGTTTCAAAATTATGTAAATTAATAAAAGGCGTCAGGAAGTGTACTATGCTTCTGGAATGATAACACTATTAATAGATCTCATTTCACTTAAAAGCATTTTTAAGCATACAACTAGAATTCTAGGTGTTACTATACATTCTAAATGTTTTAGTACTGTACGAGGCGAATATTCTTTTTTTTCGAAAATTTCCAAGCAGATCCGACAACAGTAGATGAAAAAAACAACAATTCATTTAAAAAAAAAGAAAAGAGAAAACACAATTATAAATATTAAATGAAAGGAACAATGCATCTGAAGAAAATTGACGACCTTTCGCCTCAATTTACATTAAAATTTTCTTTCACTTTTCGTTTTTTGTTTTTCTAATTTTCTTAATTGGAAATTGTTATTCACTTATAAAACTAGACTGTTCAACATATTGCATGTGATAAAAAAATATCGGATGTCGGTATTAAGATGAAAAATTTCTTTTTTTTGTAAGAAAACATTTTGAACAGCTCAACAAGTCATATATATTATCTCCAAACTAAATTATAAATATTATAAAAATTGTTTCAGTTTATTGCAGGCAAATAGTGAAAGATCTAATATTATTTCCATAAAAGCTGAAGCAAAGACCCGATGTGTTCATGAAGTTTATGAATATCTTGGAACAGATCATATCTACATAATTATTTTCGAGAGTTCAAGCGGATATCGTCCTAGTATACGATACTTTTTTTTTTTTTTTTCACAGATCCAAATCAAATCTACAAATCTTCGCGTGGAAAATTTAATTCTCCTTTAGTTCTGTTGAAAAATTCTTATGCCAACTTAACTGTGCTCAGAATCAACTCTGGCCACTTTTTTCTCATTCTCTAACAAATCTAACTTTCTATTATTACCAATTATCATTTTTAGCACTTTTGGATTACTTTGATCGAAAAACCACCTTCATATTTCGATTTTGAATCCTTAGTACCAAAACTAAAAAAGCAAAAGGCAAAAAAAAAACATTCATTTCAGAAAGCACCCATAATGTAAAATTAAAATTTAATGTACAGACGCTTTGAATTAATCAATTTAATAACAATCTAAAATGTGACCCATAACATCGTTGTTAGCATTACACTTTTATATGATGAAACATTGAAAACAGAAAATGTATGGTTCAGAGAAAGATACTACTACTGCGGAAGGTTACTGACATTGTTTGTTTGAACTGTTGTTAATTGCACTCTACCAAAGCCGTAGATCTTCATGTGCATCATCTGTTTCTCACTTTTACTATGCAAATAGTAAAAAGTATTTTTGATGTGATTATCGACTGTAGAAATAAAAATAAGCTAGGAGTTCAAAATCTCTTGATGAAACGATGACTTTAGAGATGCTTAAAATACAAATATCAAAGAATTGTTTTTGTTCATTAGCAATTCCCCATAAAAAAAATGATCATTTTTGAATGTATAAAGTTTTTTGAATTCGTTCAGGAAATTACAAATGGATAAAAAAAAGATCAGTTATCGTAATGTTCAGCTTTCGGAAGATAAAACGTGCCAGTATTGGATGATTTTAATTAAAACAGAAATTTGCCGAAATTTGGATGAATTTCCTGTAAAAACAACTAGAAAAAATTTTTTTTCGTAACACTTGTTCTTTTATAAAAAATCACGAAAAGAACAAAACAATTAAATAAAGCACTAGGTAATGTGTTAAATCTAGGAAAAATATGAAGTTTAAAAAAAATAAACAAATTTCTAAACAATGTAAGAACCAAGTAAAATTAATACAACAGGAAGTAGTATATGATAGCAAATACTACAGCCAATATCGCAACAAAAACCATCGGATCCATCGTAGTAGAGTCACTAAATTTAAAATATTTCATTAATATTATACTCTCACTGTTTTACTATAACTAAGGGCAATACTGCAGTTGATATGTACAAATTGAATTCAACGAAATCTCTTCTTTTCCATGATAACATTTCATAAATTCCGTTCCTACTGAAACTACCTTTTGTTTTCAGCTTCAATGGTTTCTTTCTCGAATAATTCCTCTCCATCATTTGAATAAGTCATCTTTTCCTCCTGAAGTTAATAACGATAAGGATCTCATAACATGAATATCAATAATTAATCATTCACTTCGGTAAAATCATTAAAAATTTTATCCATTGTCTTGCTTATGAACCAAAATGAATTTAAATGCATTTTTTTTTATATTCAAAAACAAAATTTAAATTTAACGCATGACACACAAAAATTTTATGATTAGGAATTTTGCAAGAATTTCGGTAATAAGCTAAAATAAATGATAGAGAAATCACTTATGGTTTATTTGAAAAAAAGGAAAAAAAATTTGAAAAGTATTTTTTTACATCTACTATTTCGGCAACCAAATATTTATCCTTCATAAGTCGGGCATCTGTAGAATGTCCGATATCTTCATACTGTTCAGTAGCATCATGACCAGCCAACTTCAGCAAAACTTCACTACCACCCGGATGCTGAAATTATCGCAATAATCTGCGATGACAATGCTGTGGAATATGGTAGAGCAGTAACAAGATAGTAGATAATTTGTATGTACATATGAAGGAAGATGATGCGCAAAAGCAGTAAAACTACTGGAAGCAAGCTTGCCTGATCCAGAAATGTGGTCAGGTCATAAACTTGGTTCTCGATGCACATCCATACACTACTATTAGTGTTGTGTTCTGCCACTTGCGCCCGTGTTACTCTTTGCAAATCAGCCATTTTGCCTATAAAAAGAGCCATTTTTAAATATGTAAAATTTTGAGAACTCCACCATCTTCACTACCGTAAATTTCGGTTTTTTTTTATTCATCATCATCAACAAAATCTAACAAAATTAAATTAATTTTAAAACAACAGAAGATTTATATTTGCAAAAATTGCGCTGCAAACATCAAATAAAAAAAAACAAATTTGTTTGTAAAAAATAAAAAGAAAAAAGAAATCTGTTCAGTCTTGATACAATCAAAACTAAACACTGGTCTCATCTGAATTAATTAAAATATGAAATTCAAAATCTGAGTAAATTAATTGAAGAATGATTTCTAACAATGATATTAATAGTGAACATTTTATAATATTTTCAGTGTTCATCGAGGTGTTTCTTTAATTTAAAAAATGAATTTCAGAGTTCACTTTACTTCAGAAAATTGCAGTGAAACCAAAGTTACCATAGTGATATGAGGAAAGTGACATATATCTTCCCAGCATGAATAATTGAAGTAATCGAAAGCATTCATTCAGTTGCATTATATAATGTCAATATTATTCATAGATTAATGACATTAAATGTCAGATTTTTTTCCAAAAAACAAGAAAAAAAAAAAACCAGAAAAAAGTTGGGAAGAAGACAGAAAACATGTGCAGAAATGCCGAAAACTAGACAACGGTACTGTGACATGAAGGGTGAAAATAGGAACGACAAAACAATGTCACTAAATGAGCATCACATTGCATAATACACTTTCTTAGCAAAAAAGGACAGTTCCAAGTAACCGGAAAGAGAGAGAGAGTAAAACGGAAAGAATGAGAGAGTATTTGTAATCTTGATGAAGGACGATATTATCTATATTAGGGAGAACTAGGAAAACATGTAATGTAATTACTTCATCAAGCTACGCACAGTAAATATGTATGTCTGTGTCATCGTAATATAAAAAAAGAAAGTTATTAAAAATCTTTTAAAAATATGGAATATTCAGAGAATCAATATCGAAAATTTACAGTATATGAAACATTACATTCATATCTGTGCGCACCTGAATGATTCCGGAATAACTACTAATAATAGTCGATCGTAAACTGATTAAATATATTGACACTGATATTTCGTGATACAATTGATATTATTGTGATAAGAATGGCATAATCAAATATGACTTTAATCTTCATTTTCTGTATATAATAGTGTCCACTAATTAAATATTTAATAAATATTTAATTTTTAATGCTTAATAAAGATGAGTGCAGAACCATAGCTTACATTTCAGCGTATTTGAAAAAAGTGCTTGTCGCTTTTGCATAAAAATGGGTGAGTGAACCAAGTATATTTTATTTGCATCTAATTTCATTACAATTTTAAAACTTATTTACTGAATTGAGAAACAGTAAAAAGTTTGATTCAAAAATCGTTTAGAATATTTTATCACCGATTTCAATCAAAAATGCAAAAACAAAACTAAACTAATATGGAGAGAAGGAGAGAAAGAGAGAGAGAAAGGAGAGGAGAGAAAGGAGAAAGTTAATGAATAAATTTGATAATTTTTTTCCTTCTCAAATTGTCCACCAAACAATTTTTCATTATTTATTGACTACTTTTTCCCCAATCCAACACAGCAAATTACATTTTAAACAAAAAAAAAAAAAAACGATTTACGGAGTTATCACCCCAACAAAGACCTTTAAGTCACATGAGTTAAATTTAATAAGCGCAATCGTCCTCGTCACCTTTATGACCTCACAAAGCAACTTTTTGTTGTCATCAACGATGATCTAAGCACTTTTAAAATTAGCACTGATGCACTTTTCCTCATCAATAATTTGAATCAGAAATAGCATAAAGTTTTAGAAATTAGTTCTTATCACAGTTTTCCATCGTTAATAAAGAAGATATATAGAGGGAGAGAGAGAAAGAGAAAGCGAGAGAAGTAGGGGAAAGAGGTAAATAGAAAAGGTTTTGATAATAAGTCGATAAGGCAATCATCAGTTCACTGCTCGCACATATCTGACTTCAAAATGCAGCATTGATGAAAGAGTTAAGCGATTAGGACTGAAACCTTCGAAGGAAGTTCGTCTTTCGGTGCCTGTCCAATCCGAAAGGTAATAATTTAACTGGTAACTCATGCCACTTTCGATGATAACAAACACTCGCAATATGTTACCGAACTATATCCCATTACTCGTAAAATATTGACACTATGCATTCGTGCATTTCTATATAACATACATGCATGTCCGTACGTGTGTATGCACGTGTGTGCGTGTGTGTACGAATGTTGCCTCTAAATCAGCTACAAACGTTCCTTCGACGGCCTGAGAAAAGTAGAGTGCTGCAACAGGTCAAAGAGTGTGTGATGATGACATGGGACGATGGATTTTCCAGTTATGGTTGCAAAATAAGGGTGGGAGTAGGTTGAGCTTCCGGGTTGTCCTTATTCTCATCACAGCGTTGTTAATGCTGTCTCTTTCACGTGTCACTCTGTCACTTCACGTCCTCACGTGGTTTTATTGGCATTGCTTCAGTTCTTTGGTTATATTGTATGTATATGTGTTGAAAGATTAAATCTGTAAATTTCAGATTAGAATTCGATGTAGTATATGGAAAATCTTTTATAACTCAATTAAAATTAAGTGAGAAACTTTGTTACACTGATGTATTGCCCTGCTGAAGGCACCAAGCATTTTATTCATTAATATAAAAAGTTGAATGACTATTATTTCAGGATATGGCTTCAGATTTTGGTAATCCGTTGAAAAAATTCAAGTTGGTATTCCTGGGTGAACAGAGTGGTAAGTATTGGATGTCATTCTTTCTCCCCTTTTACATTTCTGCAACTGCTCTTGTTTTTCTACTTTTAATATGCAACTCATTGCTGTGTAGCTGCATTACATTGTAAATCATTTCAGTTGGAAAAACATCACTGATAACACGATTTATGTATGACAGTTTCGATAACACGTATCAAGCTACTATAGGAATCGATTTCTTAAGCAAAACTATGTATCTCGAAGATAGAACGGTACATACTTTGAAAACTCTCGAAGTTTCTTCGCGAAATACTATGTTCATATATCATTATCAACATGCATTTTTTAAAGATGTCCATGTTTCTTAGTCACAGATGCAAAATGATTGTGGGGGAGGACGTAATATGTATGATTGATATATTCTTTCTTTTCTGGGAAACCTAATTCATAGCGAATCCTATCCAGTTTAGAGCAAAAGTCTTGCCGGCTTAACATGTCATACGACTGTCACGAAAGCATAAATTGTGATGCATCAATATATTTCAAATTGTGACTATCATGCATTAGATTTGGTTAATATTTGACATTTTTTTATTCGTTTTACGTGTGAGTTTTGACGGACAAGCTTGATATCGTAATGTTGGCCAATGAAAAGAAATTTTTTATGTAATTAGGTCATCTTTAATATTTATTGCTCAACATTTTTAGTGGTGTACTGAAGCACAAATCTGATTAAAAAGATTGCATACTTTAAAATGATCATCTTTGTTTGTCGTGAAAGATTTCTTATGCACGAGCAGTCCATTTCATTCTCTTGCTTGCTTGCATAATCTTTTGTACCCGACAGTAATGGGTAAAAAAGACTATAAGTATTATATAAATTGTTTTGACAAAAATTAATAATAAAAATTAGAACATGATGTTACAGTAATAATAGCATTTTTACTCCAGGTTCGGTTACAACTTTGGGATACGGCAGGTCAGGAACGTTTTCGATCCTTGATTCCATCTTATATCCGTGATTCGACTGTTGCTGTCGTCGTATATGACATCACAAGTTGGTTTTGCAATTTCTAGTATTTTGACTGTCTTGAGAATAAGTATCTATTCATGACAGTCATGAACTACTACTACTATTTGCCGTATGAGATACAATCATCAGCTTTAGCCTAGTTTACCACGGTATTTTCTGCAGCGTATTTTACACATATCTTTCAATAATGTGTAATTTACGAATGAGTGTCGTTATATTTGGGATGGCATTTTTGTAGATTCTGGAAATATTTTTCGTAGAAAAGATTAACCCCTAAGTTGAAAGTGAGTGCCATATTTTTATTTTCAAACTTTTATATACAAAGTATTTTTATCCCGATTTTTTTACCACTGAATTATTCCATTATATTTTCATTTTCAAAAGTTTTCATTTTTTTTTTTTTTTTTTTTTTTTTTTGGCAGTTCTTTTATTCTTTCTACTTTTTCTTGATTTTCTTCGACGATTAGCATATTTAAATGAGGTTGTTTGTTTCGTTTTCTAATTAGATTTCTTCTTTTTTTTAAACATTGCATTTCTTTCTTTTAACCTCTTTTTTGCTTCCGTCAGCTTTGCTGCATGTTTTTTAAGTGCATTACTTGTGTTACCCAGTTCTGTCGGTGTAGACATCTTTAGAACAGATTTAACTTTTTTTGATCGACTTTGTTTTGCATCTTTTTGAAATGTCTTCTTGGGTTTTTTTTGGCATTTTGTTTCACGGTGGCTTTGTGACTTCACTTTTCGAGTCCAGCGCATTCTTTTGGAATTTTTTTGAACTGTTCCCTCAACTCTCATATCTCTCACATGATGTTGAGAGCGGTCATTTTCTGCATACGATGTTTTTTCTAGATTTTTGTAAAGCAGAATTGGATCCTTTCCTGTAAGATTTTAACTTCAATATGCTCATGGAATGATTGCACGTATAGCTAATAAAAGACGAGAGAAAACAGTAGTAGCGATGTTCTCTAAAGTATACACAGTGGTGTTATGTTGATATATAAACGGTAACGTCCCTAAAATATTTGGAAAAATATTCACTGGGTACCTGAATTAGCATTCTTTATTCGGAAAAAATTGAAAGCGCTTTTACTCCAATGACCAACTTTCGTCAGCGCTGTCTCACCAAATCCCTTTATTTTTTTACCAGTGTTATCCGTATGTTCGATGAAGATTTGTTCGCTTTCAACTTTGTTTGGTGATGTGACATATGTATCTTTATGAGTTGGATCTGGTACGATGTTATGTTGTAATATTAACTGTTGTTGTTCCTTTGGCGATGTTTCGAGTTTATCAGATGTTGAACCTGTTTGACTGGAATTGATTCCATATGCTCCGTCATAGCTATTTTTAGTCGTGATTTCTTTGCTGAAATATAAAAAATTTTCGTCAGCGTTTTTTTTTTTTTTTTTTAAAGTAATGGTACTTGATGTATGTGTTTCTGAAACCGCTGGTAAATCATTCGTACTTGATGTGTTGAAAATTGAAATCACTTTTTATATTTATATTCTTTAATGCATTAATCTTTTTGTTGTTCTTTTTTTCCACTTTCAGATTTGTTTTCTAAAAAGAAAAAAAAAAAAAAAATGGATGCTTGCTGTTAAAGTTTCAGATTTTTGCAAAGCAGAAACATTTAAATAGAAATTTTCACAACTCTTTTTAAGGAACATTTTTTGTAATGTAAGATTTTTAGTTAATTCAGAAACTTTCTGCACTCATTTATACTCTCCCCAGTCTGGATCATTCAATGCAAAGCGTAGTTTGGTTGGTTTATTTACAGCGTGTAATGTTCGACTGGTCTTTTACTGCTTGTCAATTTTTTCGTTTAACTTGTCTTTTTTTCAACTTGTCATACCTACAATGAATTTTTAATGAGTGTTTCGGACTGAATTATTGTTTCAAACGCTGCTGCACGTGCTTCCATCTCAGCTCGTGTATTAATACAAGTTTTGATTTTTCCATCGAAATTTTTATCGAAAACAGAATTCAGCATGTCTCTTCTTTTATCACCTTCTTTCTTCATTTCTCTCTATAATTGTTTCTTTAAATATGGAATTATTCCTTCGTTTTGGTTTGAAGGAATTAGGTCACTTGAAAGGTCTTTTAGATTCTTTAATTTGGATGATTTAATCTCGACTTTTTGTTCAGAAACTCGGGACTTTCTTTTCAATCCGTTGTTCAGTTTTGTGGTTATAGGATAATTAAGTTTTTTTTTTGGATCATTTTTGAAATGGAAGTAAGAGTTCAGGAATTCCAGTATGAAAGAAGGAAATGTTTTTTGGAATACCAAAAAATTGTTCATAGCTTCAATCTCGTTGACAGCTTCATTTCGTTCAGTTGTATTGCTACTTGTTTGAATATTTGGTAACCATCCTGATATGTCTGTCGTTACGGGATGTGAATAGTTGCTCTGCTGCCGTTTTTTCAAAGTAATCTGAGACGATATCTGAAGTTTTTCCAACCTTTTTTTTGACGTGTCGTTCAGCATAATGAAAATCTAAAGAATGAGAAAACCGAGAAATTTTTCCGTTAAATAGTAGGAGTGGTTAGTATTTCATCCTAAAAAATTTTTTGATACAAAATTTTTATTTCTGTATGAACTAAGAAGACTGGAAAAGTCTCAGTCTAAGTAAGTCAAAGTTGTAGTATGCAAATTGGAAATGAAATAAAGTTTAGTTGTAATGGATTTACTTCTGCAGATGCAAATTCGTTCCACCAAACATCAAAGTGGATTGATGATGTACGTACTGAAAGAGGAAGTGATGTAATCATTATGCTCGTGGGGAACAAAACTGATCTGGCAGACAAACGGTGACTTTAGTTTCGAAATGTCGATTCAAATGAATTTTAAATGTTTTTTCTTTGTGCATTGCAGATTAATTTCAAAATTAGACACTTAATACAGCAATGTGAAATTCAAGAAAACATTGAGCGAAGAAACCTCCAACAATGCACTAATGCTCTTTGTTAGGATTTTTGCTGATGATCATAGAAAATATGATCGTATTAGCATTTATTGTCTTATAAGTGAATGTAATATTCTTATGAGTCCATTTTGAATCAATATTTGCAAATATTTTGTATTCATTCAAGATGATTAAAAGTTGCTGAATCCTAAAATAAAATTTAAAAAATGGTTCAAAGGTTCCAGGCAAGTGTCTACTGAGGAAGGTGAGCGTAAAGCGAAGGAATTGAATGTTATGTTTATTGAGACATCGGCTAAAGCTGGATATAATGTGAAGCAGGTAACTGGATCTTGAATATGAATTGCAATTGATACACTTGAGGTATATATTTTAGTAAATTATTTTATTTTTTAGCTTTTCCGACGTATTGCTGGAGCGTTGCCAGGCATTGAAGCCGATCAAAGAGATAAACATGACAGTATGTTTTTTAATTTATTCTCCCATCCTCCAGGAAATTCATTCTTCATTTTTTCCCGTAATTGTAGTTCATTTTAAAACTTTATGCTTTTCTTTCCATCATTTCTGAAATTGATAGAAAAAATATGAAAACTTAATACTAAATGCTTTCGATTCTGTTTAATTCATTTACGTATTTCATCATTGTTAGGTCCTAAAGATACATTTGGTACAAGGTGTCAACAAAGAAGCTTTTTTTTTTTTGAATGAAATTAACTTATTTGCTGTGGAGTAGACCATTAATTAAGTAAATACTGCTTTAGAAGCTATCAGATAATGGTGTTACAACAATACAATATAGTACTATTAATGATATATATGCCACTAATGAGATGATCTGTAAGGGTAATACAGTTGATGTGGAGCTATTGCATGTTTTCTGTTTGTAGTGCAGGAAGTGAAGTTAAGCGATGCGCCTATTCGACAGGTTCAAATGCAAGAAAGCGGTTGTTGGTGTTAACGCCGTCATTGTTGTTTTAGTACCAAAAAATATCAACCAGGATATCATCGCCATAAAACATTATTCCGTTTTTGGTATATCTGCATGCATTTCTCGCTGCGCGCTATATCAAAATGATATTTATTACGATTACTGTTACCATTTTTATTTAAATTAAAGTTCTTTTTGCCTTCTTGTGATCATATTGAAATTTGAGTCACTATCCTGCTTTTATCGGTTCAAATAACTTTTTAGCTTTTATGGAAAAAGTTCAACATGTGCGCTTTATATGCATGCTTATTTATGTTAATGATGAAGAAACTGTTTGGTATTATAGCATTTGAAGAATTGAAGAAATTAAATTTAATTGCTTAAATTCGCAAAATATTTCGCTTCGTACGCATTCTTGTCGACACTGAGTATATTCGTTTCAATGCATTTTAATCTGTATTGCTATTTATTTGCTAAAGTTTGTATAATTTTAATGGCTTAAATTGCATGGCAAGTTTAGTCCTTAGTTTCAGTTTAATGAATTCTCTTTTACTTCAAGCAGAATTTCAGACATCAATTTCTAGCGAAGGCCGTTTTTTCATCAGCATGTGTTGTCTTGTTTATTGTTATTCTTTAATTTCTTCCTTTTTTTCTTGGGTATTTCAATAATGGTATCATACGAATTGTCATAGCTCTGCAGCAACTTCTACATTCCTAAATCTTTGTATTTTTGGCGTTTAAATTTTGAATTGGAACAAGTATGGTGATTAGTAGGATGCTGCTCACTAGAGAACATATTCAAGCAAGATGAGATATTCGAAAATCTTCAATTTAAAATATGTCGCCATCGTTGGTAGCTCAGTACTTTAAATATGTCGTTTGTATTACTATGTTGCTTATAAGAATTCTAAGTAATAATTGCGGTGAATATATTACAGCCATTATGCTGTAATGATTAGTAAATGTTTCATATCCGTTCACTTTTTCAAAAAAATTTTCCAGGTTTTTCAATTTTCACTTCGAAATATTTCTGAAATATTTCTTCGTTTACTAACATTTCTTTTTGGTATTTTCAACTAAGATAGTAAAACACCTAATAGAGGTTTTTGGTTCCAACTAATCCTAACAAATGTCCTAGTTTTTTATAGTGTGTGGAAAAAAAAAAAAAAAAAAAAAAAAAAAAAACGTAGTTTTGTTGCATATGTGAAGATTTAGTTTTGTAACAAAGTATCTTGTAGAAAAGTCGACTGAAGACTATATGATGAATTCTGTTTTTTGATGTCTAATCTTTCTGATATAATTTTCGAATTCTGCACGAAGCTTGGATAATTGTTTGACATGTTTAACGTTAGGTGACTATAATGATGTTGAATACATTAAGGTTAAAAAGTCGAGATGACGAATTGCAGGAACACAACCTCACCCTTTAATTTTATGCACATGATATTATAGATCCAGTGATTGAAATTGGTCCTATTAAACCAAGAAAGATAGAAACAGAAGAAGGTTCATGCTGGTGCTAGTGCTTTGGTTGTCATTATCTCGAATTCCTGGCTCTGCTAAGACACTGTCAGTTTCAATATGAAGTGAAGTATTTGAAAAACGGTTTTACACTTCCTCGTTATTTTCTATGTTTCCGTTTCGCTTGGATAGGTTATTGGTATTTTCATATGTGTAATAATCTTCTGACCTAAATCTCATTTTGTCTTTTCCAAGTTTTTAGTGGGCACTTGCGAACAGTAAAATGACTATGTGATTAGAATATTGACTTAAGTGAAAATTGAGTTCCTAATTATTCCTAATTAATATTTCAAGAAAAAGAAAAATTAAAATCGTATTTCTAATACAGTGGAGTCTGTAGCATATTTTTATTTTGCTCGTCCATTTGCAGTATCTCTGAAGTGGCATTTTGTCCGTTCTGTTTCCCTGTTATCCATCATTTAATCCATATTCTAGATCAGATGTTTGCACCATTTTCCTTTGTCTGTAATACGTGTATTCAATAATGGGCTGTTTGCTGTGACTTTTTTTTACTTACATGCTTGCTCGCTTATTATCTTCATCTCGTTTTTTTCTGGTGGATAGTTAAAGTTATACCAGCACTTAGATTATGTATTTCGTAAATATAGCTTTCTCATATGAAATATCGGAATTATACTGAGGACATTACACATCGACATTATCCGACGTCTTAATTCATTGCAAACATTTCGACTTCATATATGAAAAATTCGATCTAACATAAAGGTAAATTCAGACAAGCTCTAAATCAGAATTTATGAAAAGAGATAATGCTATATTAAAAGAGGCATGTCTTCACTTAACTACTAGTAAAGGTTTTCTAGAAATGAAAAAACGGAAATTATCCACCCAATGCAATGAATACTGCGGGAAAAACCTGATAGAGATCCTTATTGAGAAAAGCAATCGCTTTCTGTATTAAAGACTGTAAATCTGTCGTAAGAAAAAGCGATAAAACATTATGAAAGAAAAGACAGAAGAAAGAAGTAGGGCTGTGAACTTTCCGCATTCACTTCCGAAAGAAATGAATTATATGAGATATGATATGAACAGATCAATGACAAGTGTGATAAAAATTTGGAAACTTGGGAAGTATTGGTAATGAAACAATTATAACTGTAGCTTAAACAAATTATGCAATATCTGGAGAGACAAATGCTCTTCATATTTATATAAAAGTAAGAAACGTAGCGAAGATTTTGTTAACGATATGAAAAAGTTGTCTCAAACATAATACCTATTGAAATCAAGAATTTTAGAAACTCATGCAACAAAGAAACACGTCTTGATTATTTAAACTGGTTGATTAACGTGACCAGATTTGATTTAACGGAATTCAATCACCAGTTGCATAAGTACGTGTCCATTCTTGTGCTGTGCGTATCGCATCACTTTCATTATTCTTCCACTGTTCTGCAACATCAGTTGCCAATGGATCGTCTGGATTTGGCGCTGATAGCAATGCCTGGATTGAAAGCAGAACAGTACGTATTTGAAGCGCCGGTGACCACTTATCCTTTAGGATATCCAAACATATTCGTCCCAGTTTGTCAATATTTGGGTGGTAAATTTTAGTCATAAATCGAACTTTCGGCGCAGCCATCGGATATTCTTCAGGTAAGAAAAGTTCCAACTTAAATACACCTCCAGCAAATGGACTACCTTCAGGACCAGCAATAATAACATGAAAATAACGAGCATTACTTTCATCCGGTACTGCCGAAATCCCAGGTACTGGATCATTCATTAGACGTTGTGTTTCTTTTGTAATGCGCCTTGGCAGGGCACTCGCCATTCTGCAATTTATTACCTGTAAAAGGAAAATCGTCCTACTGTACTTTGCTCTCTAATGAAACAAAAAACCATACCAGGATACATCTAATCTTTTTTTTTTTTTTTTTTTGAAGCATTATATGAACTAATTCCTCAGTAAATTAAAAATAACATTATGCAATAAGCAGGTTGGTAATCAAACTCAAGTGATAACAGGAAATATTTTTGACACAAGAAATTCCTTCAAAAAATTAAGAAAAAAGTGATGTGAATGAGTCATACAAATAGGTTCAAATAGGTTTACTGCCAACAACTAGCAAGAACAATATACTCATAAGAAATTAGTAACCGTTTACTATAACTCTGAGGTGAATCATTCCCATATCTATATATTTTAGTGAATGAAAAGATGCATTTAGTATTCACTGTAAAGATGATATACTTTTTACGAGTTCTACTGTGACACAGCATTACAACAAACTTTTATTTCCACATATTATTGAAAACAAAAATCAATTTTTACAAACTGTAGGGGTATACAGTGAATCCCTATAAGCTCTAAAACCGTGAAAAGTAATGCTCACGGACGCAAAACCTTCACCCTATGTACGATTCGTTGGATACAACTGACAGATACTTTGACAATATTTAGTTTACAATATTCTCATAACTTTACAAAAGCTAACCAAATATCATTCCAAAAAATGTGACAGATTTTTGCGCCAATCAACAACATAGTAATCCAAAACAGCACAGCAAGAATTGTATCAGAAAGAGGAAGCAGAATTCAACAAATTATTAAAAGTAGCTGCAGTGTATGTTTTCTGTCCATCACATAGTTAAATCAGTAGTGTACATAAAATTTATATTTCGTTCTTTCACGACCACTTCGTTCATAGAAAAGTGAGAAAACTCTCTTCCCATTGTATAACCTGTGAAGGAATTACTTTTGCATTTTAATATAAAAAAAGTGCGAGTAAAACATTTAAACCGAGTATAAATTATTCACTCTCCAGTCCTCCATAGTCTTTTGAAAACCGCCAGATATATTATATATAATGGAGTTATTTCATTTATTCGCTAGTGCACTTATCATCAGTATTCCAAAAGAAAGGATGAGGTAAATTCTAGAGGACGATCACTGAGCAGCGACTTGAAATAAATAATAAAGACATGATCTGCTAAATTGAGAATACAAAACTCTGTTAATTTCAGTAAAAACTTTGGATTTTAATCCAATTATTGATAAGCCTTAAAATCTACAAGGAAGGAAATATGCAACTGACAATTAAAGATCTAATAAAAAAAAAAAGTGCAGCTGCTGACATTAGGGCAAAATCACCTGTTTTGTTCTAAAATAGGGATTGTAACAAATAAAGTTTTAATCCACTGTGTAATCAAGCTTTTTCACTGAAGATTAAAAAACATCGTAAACAGTTAAATTCACTTTATAATAGAAGAGATCAATGAAAAAGCGTTATATATTTTCCTTTGAATTACTAGTAAAGTAAAGCCCTGAGAGTCCAAAGAAGTTCTTCATTTTAAATCGCATCTCAATGGATAAGTTATCCATTGTTATCCAAGTACATTATATATTCGCTTATGAAAATATGAATGTGTCAGAGCAATCTCGGTTTTTCCGAGATGAAATTAAAACTTCTACAGAGAACTAACATGGAAATTCCACGAAGAAAATTCCTGCATTCACAATTTTTTGAAAATATTACAAACTGAAGTTCTGCAGTTTTTCTTCATTACTCTGAAACTGATGTTATGCCTTCAGAAAATGAAGAACGACAGAGGAGAAGAAAATAAAATTGTATTTTTGAAAAAACAAAACAAACAAATAATTTCAAAAGATCGAAGATTAAAAGATAAGTAAGTAGGCAAAGAGCATAACTGAGCACTAAATGTGCAATTTCTGGTTAAGACAAAATATTTGGCAACAAATAATTAATATCTGACCAAATGATAGAGCAACTTTCAAAAAATCTGAGGACTGGCTACTGAGATAAAGGAAAGTAAACATTAATTTCAAAGAAAATAAAAAGGGAAAAAAAAAAAACCTTCTATGACTCAAAAACCTATATCCTTCTTGCTGTTGCGTCTTTAGCAAAATGATGACTTTTGAACAATTCCCCAATTTTATCGAGAAGAAAAAACAAATTTGGTAAGATCATGCGAAACTAACCGCTGTTATTTGTTCACTTGCGGAAAGCAAATTACTGCTCAGCTGTTTGCGTTTCAACTGCTAACCCCTAGCCTGGTTAGTTATTATCAAAAAAAAACATTTATAAGAAATCACTAATTAGGTGGCTTCTTGGTCATAATAATGCATAACTATCACACAGTGCTTCCCTCCTTAGTTCAGTAAATGCATACTTTTTGAATATTTGCTTCATGTTTTTTCAAACGAAAAACCATGCGTATTTCATCGGGTAGTGAAATAGTCGCTCACTAACTGCTACTGAATCGATTGCTAACTATCCGTATCTTTTTCTCCTAAAATACAGCAATTAAAAATCAATATCTGGAAAACACTGCATAAATCAGTGGAAGACAAATGAAGCAAATACGTATATTGAGCAACAAAGCAAATGATAAGTCAACAGATATGGATGATGTAACAGGTTCAGTTGTATAGGAATATTCATAATGATGACCTTATTTTCGCAGAAGAAGGTTAAACAAATAGAAGAAATTGCAACTTTTGTCTATGAACACCGAGTGGTGAAATAGCGCAGGTCAAACAGCTTTAGTTTTGTTTCATTTTTTAGACAAATCGATAGTTACCTGTAGCATCACTTATAGTGCAATCATCTCGGCTAACTGTGTTCATTGATGATAAGCGTTCTGCAAGTTTTGCAGCACCCGGATCTATCCCTTCCGCGTCAACTTCCGGTATAGCATTCCGTCTGCCACTACGGCCGGAATTGACAAAATTTTTCATTTGATCATCTTCCGTCGTACTACCACCTTTTCCTTCTACGACATCATCCATTTCGCCCATTTTTATCACATTCAAATGAATTATCAGCAATTATCATGAAGATTGCCATCAAATAGCCAAACTCACTGCATACTAATGCAGTCGTCGAAATGCTGCAGTAATCGATACCGTTGCTCAACTCTGAAGTGATCTGCAAACATAGCTAAATCAAAAGATTACTTTTTTCTTGGCAAAGAGAATATTTTGAGCAATTAATGCAAGATAATTAGACGAAGGCTAGAGTTGAATATTGTGTAAAATGTCATGACGAGCAGTGTAAAACATCGGATAAGTGTTATGGTGGGTGATCAGTTACAATGATTGGTGCAATGATAGGCAAATAATCCTAGCTATTCAGCAAATGGAATGTTTCAAAAGTTCAATTTTTTTTTACAACGTTTGGATGACTGTAAGAATAAAAGTAGAAAATGGGTTTGAGAGGATAACAGTTGACAACAACATGTACGCTAGACAGTACCGAAATACGCAACATCCGGTAAGTGGGTCCATAGCAGTAGACGGTGCAGCAGGTGAAAAGAACTGGTCTACTGGTGCACTGCGGTGCACAGAAGCACGTCTAACGAATCAATACTGCACGAGTGCTGCACAACGGGAGAGAAGGGAGTGCAGGGATGCGAGTGATGCCCGGGTGGAAATGAGAGAGAGCTGCTAGGTGGAGGAGTGCTGGTTGACGAGTGTCACCAATTGGAATAACGTCGCACTGACGTGTTAGCTATGGGTGTTGGCTGGCATCTCATCTAATAGGACGACAAGTAGTGATTATCTATCGACAAGCAGTCTTGTGAGCTTTCCGGCTGAATTTGTGATGAATTGCTAGTGGTGGTCTAAATAGTCGCAAAGAAGTTGATTTGAGGTACAATCATATCGGAAGAAAAATTTTTGTTCCTCTGCATTTAACTCTAATAACGCGATAATCTGAAGTTGTTGAACTACAATTTTTGCATTAAAAATTAAGTAAATTATTTAGTAATTAATCATGGTTCAGTCCCAAACTTTAACAAATGCTTTTCTTAGCAGTAAAGAAATGGATTTTTGAAAACCTAATTTTTGCAAAGAATAGTTAGTTATTCAGTCGAAAATAAACTTATCAAAATTGTTAATCAAAAATTGTTTCAAAATAAAGTTATTGTAGGCAAAAGTTTACAGGAAGTAATTTCTTTTGAAGCTTAGCGAAGTTCTTTAAACTAAAGCAGTTAAGTTTGAATCGCCATTTCATATTGGTTTGATAATTGTTGGACAGTATCATCGATTTATATGGTAAGAGAATTTTTCCGTCAGATTTTGAGAAAAAATAATCACAGAACTCCAATTCACAGAAAAGGCACATAGCAGATGGGAATTTGAAAATATCAAATTAAAGTATTCAATAACATATCATAAATTGAGAAACTGCGCATAGACAGGTTTACGGTGTAATAGTAAATTATGAAAGGAAAGAAATTTTCACCTAAATTGGACAAAAATATCAGTAAGAATGTTTGTAATGCTAAAGTAATGAATCTATTTGTGTTCTATCAGTCATTCTATTTTAATTTTTTTGAAAGTGCAGCAACACGTACGATACATTTACTTCTATATTTGAGTAAGTAAGTAATACAATAATTTGAATATTTGAATAAAGAATAGGTAGTATACAATGCAATAGGACAATAGTTGAGTTAAGAAGAATTAACAGAAAAGAAAATCCTTTTGAAATTTATTCACTTTTCTAAATACCTTTATTTTTTCATAAAAAAAAAAGAGAAAAAATCATTATTTAAAATTTTTGCAACCAAAACTTTATTGAAAGCACCGGTTTTGAATTTTTTGTTTTTTTCATCATTATATTGTATCACAAGTGCATAAAATACATAATTAAATAAGAAAAAAAAGCAAATAGTGAAAAAAAAAAAACTGACAAATAAATGATAATTGCTGCAACGGGTGATTTCACTACCATCTTTTACGTTAGTTTTGCCTAAAATATAAATTATTTGAATTTTTAGCCAAAGAGAGGGCGAGGGAGAGAGAGAGAAAAGAACAATCACTTTTTTTTCTCTCTTTACTTTATGGTATACATTTAATTTGAGGACAATTCCAGTGATGTTCGAATTCGAGCAGAAGGAAAATAATCCCATAAATTAAGATATACCGGAATGAACTCATTCTTTTAATCTTTTTCACTTCTTCATATTTCTGGTTAGGCTTATTATTTCAAGATTTCTTCTTGTTTAATCAAAAAAGAATTACGAACGGCGCTGCGTCTATTCATTGTCGCTTTGCGCGACAGTGTTGACACTGTAGCGATGTTCAAACTACTCATTTTAAACTAGATTGATTAGACTAAACGAACACAGTAACATATTATGTATTATGTGATACAATGTTATCAGATTTAATTTCAAATTTTATTTATAAAGCAATGAGAAAATATTTCAAAAAAAAAAAAAAAAAAAATTTACTCCGTCCAGGTGCCAAGGGATTTTCGGATAATTGGGCAGATAACCTTCTTCCCATTCATCATGATTTTCTTCATCAATTTGATGAAACAGTAGGTAAGTGGTATATCCAAATAGAGTCATAGTACCGGCAATTGTTAATGCTAAAATAAGATTTCATTTCTGCTCATACTTTAGGGAATTTTGGATAAATTGGTAGGAAATTTTAGATCATAACTAAATCATCTAAGAGAAGAATTTAGTTTGGAAATTTTGGATGGAAGTCTGTTCCATCAATGGAAAATTTCTGAAGGAGGAGTCATTAAATCGAAGTAAAAGAAATGAGTAACACATTCAATGGTCGGAAGTAAATGAAGTGTCACTGGGGAGATCTGTGAAATGAAACTTGAGAGTGAGCATAACTTTGATTTGAGAAATGAATCTTTGATGAGTATTAAAACAAATGCAAACGAAACGATTCTGAAATCTCATATTGTTTCAAGTATTTTCAAGGAAATAAAACTTAAAGCTAATCAATTACAATGAAATCATAAAAAATCGATTATTTTGTATCTTTTTATAAAAAACAAAGATGTTCATATGAAAAGCGTACACAAAGTTGCGATCGTCCACCAGTGCATTGTAAAGAAAAATTTTGAATAAACTCTCAGGATTTTCAGTTTATACGAATGAGTTATATTCCAATTCATTCGTTCAAGATATAGTTCATGGCGAAAATTTGCATATGAAAATCAACAGTCTCTTATTAATTCAACAGTGTTTTGGTAGGCCTGAACATTGTGAGTTATAGCAGCTAAATCCCAGTAAGGAACTATTTTTATTCGGTGAAATGAAAGAGAAGATTTTGATTATTAATCACTTGTTTACTGACAACAATAATTTCTTTTCAATTATTTAATTTCAAAGAAATCAATCGATAATCTATTAAATTAACATCAAAATAATAACCTTGCAACACAAAACAAATAATTAGGCTCCCAAAAGAAAAAACTATGCTAATTTGTTAAAATTTAATATTTATACAGAAAAAGGAAAAAAAGCTTTCATTTTCAGAAACGCAAATTTTGATAGTTAGCTAAAAATTTGAGGCATTTATCTGTGTAGGAGATTTTAATTGATTAATTTGCATAAGTGAGCGGTTTAAATACACCTTAGATAATCGCATTTCATTTAATGTGCTAAAAACTTATTAAAATATGACTGCTTGCAGTTGTTCTTTAAAGTAATTTTTTTCTCATCTGTTGCGCTGCGCTAATTTAATTGTAAAGTACAAAATAAACAATTAGAATTTGCAAAAAAAAATTAAAGTTAAAACAAAAGGTTCAATTCTTCAATTGTTAGTTAGTTATCTTTCTTAATGTAATTAAAATATCCGATGCAAGTTGAATACTCGAGTAGACTTATTCTGCACTTTTTTTATAATTCATACAATTCATTTTTGATTCATTCTTTTCACTCAATCTAATCTCGGGTAAATTCATTTTTACTTAGTCTCTATTATCCTGTCATCAAGAGTGACCAATTGCTGCTCTCTAACAAATTCAGTTATCAGTGAAAAGTAAAATAATTAGCAAGCAGTGTAACGAAGCAAACATATAACATGAGTAACTTTAAATTGTCCATGATTTTGTTTTAAAATCAAAGTTAAATGTGTTATTTATTCTAGAAAAGGAAATGCAGCAATGGAAAGATGTAACGATAATTTTTTTAGTGTGCTACGACAGATTGAAAGTGAAACTCAAAGAGATTTGGTCTTTCCGATTTTTTTCTCTTCTTTCTTCCAAATTTTCATAAAATGGTGACATCTAATTTATTCATTTGTGGATTTAAATTGATAAAAAAAGTAACTGAAGAATTCTAATTTGAAAATTTCTTCCTTTGATACTTTTAGATATAACATTTACTGAATAATTTATTGTTTACCAAGATTTACCAAGATCAAAAAAGAGAAAAAAACGGTGGTAATAATTTCCGATCTTTCAGAAACGACAACATTTGCTCAGTGAGCGTCTTCATGCTCTTCAAGAACCTAAACGATATGTATGATCTAATTAAAATTAATTCTAAAATCTGACATTTGTATACTAAATAATATTGTATTCTTTATTCAATTTTTTTTAATGAATTCAAATTATAATTCTTTGCCAAGTTTTAAAAAAAGGAAAAAAATCCACAAAGTTATGAAAAAATTTCATAAAATTGCTTAAAAATATGAGCAATTAATTCATAAATTAGCCATAAAAAAATTTGATTTAGCATAAGCAAGAAGTCGCAAATTTCAGGAGAATCCATTGCAATATCAATTGATTCCACAACGTTATCGTATAAAACACAATGGTTATGCAGTCTGTCGTTCGTGTGCGGAACACTCACGTCATCATTGCGTGCCGCTTTTCACAAACTTCAGTCGATTTGATTACTACCGAGAAGATTCACCTGAACATTCTGCAAGATTGTAATTTTCTTCTGGCTTTAAAATCAATTTCAATTTGATGTTATTGTTTATGTGAAACGAATTTCTGCATAATATTGGGAATATCATTGAAATCCTCAACAGTATTGATTAAGAGTTTTTTTTTTTAATTTAAATTCATATTTATCAGTTACAGTGGCTTAATTGTACATGTAAAGTATATTATTTTCAGACCACGATTGAATGTAAGGATTTAGCTAATTTTCTGTGATCGTTTTTTTTTTTTTTTTAATCAAAGCTAATTTCGAAATATCCTACCCTAAATTTTTTCTCTAAATCTTAATCATCTAACCGTATTTTTTCTCAGGACATTGAATAATGATGAATGTTACCTTACGGTTGAATTAGGTTGTTGCTTGGCCCGAATTACACATTTGATGTTTACTTCAGTGAAAGCACTAAAAGAGCTGAAATTCGTCTCCGGCAATATGTATCCAATGATAAGCAATGACATCGTTAGTTTTGTTTAGTCAACAATTTCTTATTTTAGTTAACATTACTGTATTTTTCATGAACTGTGATGGTTGTTAACTGATATCAGTAGAAAAAAGGAATTATCATTTAATCAAATCTATCATACTTCTCAAAAAGTACTATAAAAAAGTGCTGTAAAAAGAGAATAAATTTTTTTGTAAGTATCTGGCAAAAAAAACAAATTTTAGACTTATTTAAATGGGCTATATCTAAGAATGAAATCGAGCTATATGCAGTATCGTACTTTGAGAATGAAACAGATGGCAGAGGACAATACTATAGGAGATGTTAAACTTTTGCAAAGTTCATTCTCAATTTTAATTCTTTATTTGGTGTGTAGCATCAATCGATATGGTACAATCTGAATTAAGTTCAACACTGTTAATAAATGCTAAACTAATTTACATAATATAACTGTAAGTCTGTTAATTGTGTTTCATTGATTATTTAGAATAATTTACTTGGAATCTGACTAATGGGAAGGTAATCTGAAATTTTTGATTTTAAGTAGTGAAGCAGCAAAGTGAAGCAGATTTTATGATCCATCGCCAATGAATAGATCTGATGAGATTCTTCAGAGTCAGAGAATGCTAATGACGAAGTACTTTGTGATTTGCCTGAGGATACCATCAATGAAGTGAATGGACGATATTTTGAAGTAGACTCGCACAAGATTTTAAATATGGTAGTTTTTCGTAATTTAAAAATTTAAATGTAACTAACAGACTAAAAAAGAGTGGAAACAGTATAGGAGAAACTGCTAATTTTCAAATATAAGAAAAAAAATATTTTTAGATATAAAATAATTTCTTAAGCTCAAACCAAAAGTTTTGACTTGTTTTTTGCTACACAATGCAGTAATTAGATGGATAATTAGAAGGAATACTAATTGGATGAAATTGTTAATAAAAATATAAGTCATAGTTTCTTTTTTTTTTATTTTTATATTTATGTCATTTCCCTTCCATAAGGTTCTCATTTAAACTTTGTGAAGAATTTGAATAAACAAAAAAATATTTAAAAAAATTGTAGTCCAACTCGGAAAAGGATTTTGAGCAATATGAAACGCGAAAGCAAAGATTTCATATTGGTTCCAAATGGAAAAGAGATGAATGAAAAATATCATTAATAAAAATAAAAATTTCTTTCAAATTACAGAACTTGTTATAAGAAGACCTTACTATATAACAGATATGTCTAATTACACAAATAAATACATCTAATTAAAACACTACAAATACCACTTCTTACATATTATCGTTTGAGAAATATTTGAATAAAATTCTGAAATTTATTTTGAGTGTTTTCAAATTACTATATCAAAAGATAAGTAAAAAATTTTAATTCATCTTGATCAGTTTTGTCATTTATGCATATTTTTCCTTTAAATAAATATTTATGTTATTTTACCATTTTCTCCACTGATGAAATCTACATAAGTCTGCACAATTAGAATTTTTATTAATTCTGATCGTTTAAGTCATATTGGCAGATTACTGGAACAAATTGTATTGGCTCTGTTGTCCTTCTTAAACTAACGATCCGTCACATCTAGTATTTAATGCGTATTGTATTTTGTATTATATTTTTTCGGTATGATTTAAATTTGATGAAGATTGTTTCGCTTTCCATTGAGCATTTATAAGCAATCGGCAAGAGTATTAATGATTTTCTACCTGAATTTCTGCATTCCTATTTTAATGCAATGTAATATTTTTCCCAAATTTTTTTATTTTTAATTGAAAATTTCAGTTTTTTTTTTCAAAGATTTTCTTCTGGAAAATTTCTATGCTTAAAAAGTTGCCTGAAAAGCTTATGAAAATGTAAGAAATTCCCGTTGAATACAAAATAATTTTGATGGTGAAAATAGTTTCTGAAAACGATTAATAGAAATATGTAAGCAAAAGGCTGTGCTTATTTGTGAGTGTAAAATGCAGAAGAAAAATAAATAGATTAGTTGGTAAAAATTATTTGCTAAAAATTTTTGAATTTTATTAGTTTTTCATTGTGCTTCTTTGTTTTAATTATAATTGGCATAAAGTCTTTTGACTTGTTATCATTTACCAGTATGTATTTCAGGCTGATTCTACAATTCCCTTCCAAACTGATTTTACTATTAAATGCATATTTACTAATTTATCACTTCATAGCATAATTTTTGTTCGTTCCGTTTTTTTTTTTTTTTTTTTTTTTTTGCAGTTTTTATTGTTTGAATGTATTTAGTTTTATTTTTTTTTTATAAAAATTCTTTCGTCTTTTTAGTATCAAATCAACACTCTGCTGATAGTGTTCAATGATAGCCAATGGTCACTGATCGATACAGTATTATGCATCGGTAAAGCCAATTTGATCTGAATCGAAACTATCGGAGAATGAACCAATTTTGGAGTGATATAATTCAACAACTTTAACCTAGCACATTAAGCATAGTTTATTGCCACTACCACATATGGTTTACTCTTGAATCCATCTGATATTGCATAAGAGAGAATAAAAGCGATAATATGCTTATTTGAGAAATCAGTTGATTAGAAATTAGCAGTTGCTTTCATCGCTTCAGTTGTAGAAAATTTCAACTTTTCAAACGTTTTGATCAGAGAAGACTTACTAATTAGCTTCTTAACAATTGCGTTTCTACAAATTCTTAATGGTTTTATTACTTTGCTCAAATTTGTTTATTCTATGAAATTCATTTGAAAATAATAAAAGTCAGGTAATTGAAATATTTGATTTGATATGTAATTAACGAGTGCATTAATAAACATATTTCTGCATCTTAGCATTATCAATCTTGTTAACATCTATGTTGACATTTCAAGTGATTCTATCAGTAGAAGGTATATTAGACACAGTAATAATGAATAATAGGAACTATAAAACATGCCACAACAACCTTATTTCAGGGGAAGTAAATTATATTATTAATATTAGTAAATATTAATAGGTCAGTTAATCGTTTTCTTCGTAGAAACGATATTCACTTATTTGCAGTTGTACATACATTCACTACGTTTCGATTCATCAACAAATTGCGATTGAAGAATATGAATGTGAAACTGAAATCAAAATTTTGTTGAAAAAAAATTATGAAAGAGTACTTCTTTTTTTGTTTCTGGAAAAATCCTTTGCATTCGGAATAGTTAATACTTGATTAATAAGATTTGTGAGCAATTCAACAATGCATCAAAAAGTTTGGTGAGGACGAAAAACGTAAAATTTAATAAATGAAATCATGAAACTTGTTATTTCAGCCTAACTTTACAAGCTGTATTGAAATCTTAAAGTAATAAATAACTATTACCTATCTAATGTACTCATTGCAAGCCACATATATGTTACTTTAGTCACACGTGCTATAAAAGGTCCATCAATACGGAAAATCGCTATAAGAAATGCATGTATGCCAGTAGTGATACAAGTCTGAAATATTTTCTGTTAAAATAACAAAAAATTATAACATAATTTTGCTATCCGGCAGTATCGATCAAACAATTTTAAAGCTTAACATGGAATAAAACCTAAGTTTTGTCCATTATTTTACTATTTCCAATGACTCTGATGCTTTCCGCAACAAATTATATCGAAAATTATAAGTTCACAGTTAATATAATCAAGAATTCAATTTAATTTTCTACCTCTTTGAAAAAAAGAATGTCGTGGCTCAAGCTTCCTCGCGTTGCATTAACTTCCTGATGTTTTTTTTTCTACAATTAAGTAATAATGTTCATACTGATAAAGTCTTCCACTAAAGAGAAATACAACAGAATTATTAAATCATTTATGATTTTATGGATTTTGGGAACTCCAAAATAAATCGTAGCAATTTATTTTCCAAATGATTTGAACATTCTGATTTTTTGATGAAAAGTGCATGGACAGCTATTATGTTGTAAACACTGAAACATACTTTTATATAAGCAACTATGCGATAAAAAGCAATTGCATCGACCATAACAGTGATAAGGATGATACCATCAGATAAGAGTATAGAAAAATAAATGAAGAAAGAGTGATTACATGGTCCGTATAGCGTTGACCATGAATAAATATCTGATTCGAAGTAACGGACGCATTCAACTATTAATTAAGAAATTTTAACGATAACAGTGATAAGGATAATACTATCAGATAAGAGTAGAGCAAAATAAATAAAGAAAGAATGATTACACTGTTTTTTTTTTTGTTAAATCTGTCTTGCAACTGTATTATAAAACCAAAATGTCACAAACACCTTCTATTATAAAAAAGAAATGCTATAAAGAGTTACCGTTGTAATAAAGCACCATGATTAGCATACTGAATGACCAAAGGAACACCACTGCCAATCGAGCATTTTTTCGACTAAAGATGCGATGGTATGTCATTGGATATGAAATGGCCCAAAGTCGATTAATGGCCAAAACGAATTGAATCCAAATGGCTGCGTACAACGTTGAATTTGCAATAGGAGAAAATATTCGAATGAAAGTCGTCCATGGAAATGGCTTTAGTCCTGCGTGTCTGTAACTTATGTAATCACAAGGTGGAACTAAAGAAACATCTAAAGTTGGAGAAGGAAGGAAAAAATTATCATAAGCGAAAAGAAAGCCAATATTTAGCAAGCCATTAGACAAATTTACTTTCAAGCTTATGATGACTATCCAATGGAAAATAATAATTTTTAATAGAAAACTTACTAAAAAATATTTGTTAACTTTAAAAAATGTAAGCAATGTTATGCATGACAAATTAGCTCTTCGTTATTGTTTGGTGAATAAACAAGAATGCACTAATGGCCTTACACAATAATTCTGACAATTGTCCAAATGAATAAGACACTGACAGTTTGTATATGAAATGAGACATAAGCAGTACATAAAATTCCAAATACATTGTGGTACCGTTCCGACTTATGAATTAGATAAAGCGATATTGCATATGCTAGTAGTCCGAGCAGTGCTATCTAAAGTAAAAACTTTGAGCTTAAAATAATGTCTTTTGCTGAAATTAGTATTACAGAATAAGTAAAAGTAAAGTTGGATCGATGTAAAAACACTAATGAGGTTGTCAAGGTAAATTTTAGTATTTCAAAGAGTAATGCAGTGAACAGTAATAAATACACTTTCTGTTAAGTTAAAAAATTAAAATCATACCGGTATTGCGAATATGTGGATAACAGTATTAGTATCAAATTTTGTGCTATTTGACATTCCTTTTTTGTCAAATTTGAAAATGAAATCTAATCTGTTTCACTGTTACTTAATTGTCTGAAATTTTTCATTGACAATTTATTTGTTATTATTATGGGACAAAAATTTCTTTAGTGAAAACGCAAAATCGATTTCAGTTTGATTAAAAAACAGAAAGACCTAAGGCGAAATTTTGAGATAAGAATAAAAGTTAGTTGAAATATAAAATATCAGAATGGAAATGATTGAATGCATTTTTTAGTGAAAGTAACTTTTCTCTTATGAAATCACTTTTTGCTGAAACCTACAAAGTATCATGTTATGAAGCTTTGAAACAATAACTTCCAGTAAAAATAAAATCTTAGAGAAAAGGATCAAAGTGTTATTACTGACATGTAAAAAGAGAATAATTATTTTTTAGCAAAATTATTTTCATTAAAAGATTAAGTGAAATATATAAGCAGAAAACAACCCTCTTTGTAGTTGTTTTCAAGTGAAAGTTAATGAGTTTCGCTTTTAACAATTAAGTTCATTATGACATTTTTTCAATTACCGTACGAGATACTTCATATGTATGACGTCTTTGCCTTTAACAACTTTTAAATCAGATAAATTAAATTCTTGCATCTATTGCATTTGCATTTCTATTTGACTACAAAATTGACTTTCGGATAAAATACATTTCTTTTGCTTATCAGACCGTTTATTCAAATGATCTCTTAATGTATTGAATAGCTATTGAAAAACACTGAAGAAAATAAAAAAATAGAAAACACATACTAAAAAGAAGAGAACGAAAAGTAAAAAAAAAAAGAGTAAAAAGTGAGAAATTACTTACTGATAAATAAGTTTTTCATATCTTAGCAAAAGCCAAATATCAAAATACCATTATCAAAATATATTTCACTAAACAAAGAACAGTAATTTAGAGATCAGAGATTTTAAATCAAACTGAAACAGATCGGAAGATTAAAGTGAACAATCACTAAGTGAAAAAATCATAATTCATTCCATAATTGACACTAATTACAGAATAAAGTGGAAAAGAACAGATAACTATAGCTGGACATATCAGATCATAATGATTGATAATGTGAAAAGCTGAAAATTATAATTTTTGTAGAAATTAGCATTTATCATTCCCACAAAATGTTAAAGAATCGAAAATGAAGAAAGTTAAATCGAGCCATCAGGCATGTTGTTAGCCAAAAAACTGAGAAGTAGCCATGATAGTTTTTAATAAGCAAATACAAATGTGTCATTGCGCAAATGGGTAATGAGCCCTCTAAGCAAAGGCTAAAATTTAAAAATGATAGTTTCTTCAAATGATGAAGAGCGATAGTCTCTGTAAAATAAAGAACTTAATAAAAAAGTGGTGGAATGTAATCATTTGAAAAATTTTTTCGAATTTTTAATACAATTAATGAAAACATTGTTATTGATCTTATATCACTGTAAACTAAAGTGATTTTAATTATACATAGTTGAAAACGAAATTAAACAAACCATACATGAAAGAAATAAAATTTTAGTAGTTCATTAAAATAATTGCTAGTAAAATATTTTGCACTTCATGCAATTAGAAGCGATGAGAATAATTTGAAATACGCTTATACTCAGATATCAACCAAATCTAAATAATTGGGTAATGAAACAAAAATGGCTCTCAGTTAAGTTACAATGATAATTCAGCAAAAAGTAAAGGAAATTAGCTGTAGTAACTATAATTAATTAAATATTTACACCATATTTTTTATTTACAAAATTGCTCAATTAATAAACAAAGAAATAAATCAATGATAACCCTTATAAGCCAATAAAACATAATTAGCAACAAGTTAAAGCTAATTATGCAAAACTGTAAAATAAAGAATCAGAAAACGAGTATGACTGTAATCGATTGTACTAATAATCATATATTAAAGTTATAAAAATAGTAGTATAGATAATATGAACTCTCTAAGAACTTGTAAAATATATGTAAATTATGAAACATCCATTGTTTATACATAATTTGTATAACAAATACATAAATTATAAAAATAACATAAGTAATGGAAACAATGAGTAAATCAAAACGAAAACATAATGAGCAGCAAGTTAAAGCTAATTATGTGGAAATGAAGTTTAAAGAATCGGAAAATACTTCAAGCGAAATTTATAGGAAAAATAAATTTATGTATATACAAATATATAAAAAATTTGTTATCCTTCATAATAGGCTAATTTGTACTAATTTAAAATGGTGACTTTAGCTAAGCAAAATCAATTACTAATTGAATTATATAAAAATATACGAAAAAAAGGAAAGACATTTACTGTATTACTATTACTGTTTAAAGACTTGTAATATCTCCCAAAACTTTGCAATATTTTATCGAAATATTATTACCTTGTCAAGAAATCGAATTTTACGTTTAATTTTTGACTGGTTTTTTTTTTTTTTTTTCATAAATATTCTTTCTACATAACGATTTCATGCATCATTTATTAATTAAACAATTGTAAATAATTTTCTTAATATGAGATTAGCTATCGAAATATTGTTAGCTATCGAAATATAAGTGATCGGTTGGTTACAACGCACTACGTAGTATTTTAAATTGGTAGAATGTATGATGTCTTCAATAACTCAGATGAAGCAAATTCTTTATACCTGGGTGAGGACGATGATGCTATTGGAGGTATTTCGCATTTCTTTCTGAATTTGCAAATTGCAAGCTGTTGATGACAACATTTTCACGTACTAATACATTGTTAATGACTCGTTTGGAGGAAATATATGAACAACTTTATTTCACTTGCAGTTTTTTGTTTAACAAAATATAAAATGCAAGATAATATTTTAATGATTTTATTGGAAATTGTCACTACCTATCTAAAAGCGTTTTCCATTTCTTAAAAAGTGCTCCAAAAATATCATTCATCATCTGAAAGCGATTTACCAAAATATCAAAGTTTCCAGAATTCCTATACTTTAATGCCAAATGATGAAAAATAAATTGTGACTAGGAACATTGGAAATCACACACGGGTCATACATCTGTATACATATCAGGAATTATAATAGATGCATATTAAGAAAGAATTAAATGAATAGTTACAGGAAATATGATACTACAAGGTATGGTTAAAATGCCCATACCAATAACTACCACTGTAGCACCGACAGGAAAACCGGAAGTTATATTAGCATTAACTATTGTTTTGGTTGTTCTCGTCATCTTTCTTATTATTTCTATATTTCTTCTATTGTATTGTGTACTCAAACGACAAGGAGGGAAAATAGAACGAAAACGGGTTGAACAAGAAAAGAGACGGGCAAGTATATCTGATAGTTTCCGGAATTGATATGTGACAGTGATTGAAAGGTTGATAAGGGATTAAACAAGGCCTTCATTTATCGTAGCTTAAGGAAATACGAATTCATATTGAGCAGGACCTCTCTTCAGATTTTCCTTATATATGTGTATATATATTGTTCAACATCGAAAATTTATTGCTTTTAATTTCAGCAGTAATTATAATCGGAATTGAAAAACACTTGTTTGTGCTTTAAAAATATTCAATTAATATTTCAGCACAAAACGCAATCGAAGATGATTGTGACAGATTCAGCAAGAAAGGCGAAGGTATCCCAAATTGCAGCTGGTATCGAAGCGGCTGTAAGATCAGCTGAAAGTACTTTGAAAACCCCTAAGCAATCCACGCAAGTACCATCACCTACACCATTCCCGATTGCATTACCCAGGGCAAAATCGATATCAAAGAAGTTAGCAGTACCACTTACGCAATCCGAAACTGCGGTAATTAATTACGACTATTTTAGCTCAAATTTCAGTTTTCTTTATTTGGCATAAAATAAAGAAGGCTGAAATTTACTTTATATTTCTAAGTAAATTTTAATTTGGAATCCTCAATTAAGTCACTTAAAATTCTAATGATTAAAATAGAATATATTTATTCCATTATTTTTATTTTGTGTGCCGTTTTTTAGGTAGAAGCACCACCATTATTTATCAACCAAATTTTTGTAAGCCGTTGGCCTGATCCATGGCAACAGGTAAATCATGAACCATCCGATTTTTCATTCGAACTGGAATCGGATAGTGTCAATGATATTTGTTTGCAGCCATTATGAATAATTCTTGTTGCAGTGATCCCTTATCTTCTCGTTATTATAATTATGATTGATAATATGATTTTAACTTGTGCAGGTTAAACAGTTTATGACTACAATTTTAAATATCATTTCGTTTTTCATACATATACTCTTTCATGTTATGAGAATAAACTACAGATTGCTAGTACTTCTAACATTCTGCAATTAAGATAAAAATGTCAGATGTCGTTTTCCTCACCGTCATCTATTTAATGTATGCAAAGGGAACATGTGGAATACGTGGCTCTTGAAACGTAATAGTATATATGCAGTACACTCAAAAAATAGTTTCTATATATGAATGATGAATGACCCGCTAAAACTAACAATCATCGAAAATACCAGTTGCACTGAGATATCTTGGTCATCTTATACCCTAATATGAAAGGATACAGCTTTATATGATGTGTCATATATTGCCCATTAAATATTCGCCTTCGTGATTTCATCAAATTACACTACCTCCATACATCATCTCTCAATGATCTATCTCTGTTTGTTTCCTTCTTTGTAAAAATTCTTCAAATTTTATAACACCACGTGCTTATAGTAGATCTCAAACATAGTACAGCAGCAATTGACATTTAGATGAAAAGAGAGAAATTGGCACATTTTGAAAAAGGAGTGAAAGAAAGGTGCGCGGACAAAATCAATCAGAATTTCGAACAAATGATAGAAAAGGCTAACATATATAAGGGAAGGTAGCATGCGACAAATGAGCTTTTCCTGTTTTTATGTTAAAAGAAGAAAGAAAATTAAATGAAAATACGGTCCACTGTGATGAATGTGCAATTGAATAACAGTATTGCAAACTTGACTGATCTTCTTGATCCTTATGCTACTACAAAAGCATCTTTGTCTCATCTTACAAATGTTTATCTTGAGAATAAGAGGCGTTTCTCTTCTTGCATTATCAGTGTTTACAGAAAGAAGCAACCAAGAAATTACTGAAGTGAATTAAGCTAATTTTTTATCGTAAAAAAAGTGTTCGCTAAAGGATTACGACGAATATGAACCGTATTCCCCCGTAAATACAATTTAAGAAAAAAAAAAGATAACAAATTAATAGAATCACAACCTTTAATGTAAGTGCAATGAGTGAGAATGGATAAAACAATTATAAAAAGGTCAGTGCATGAGATAGAACAATAGATATGCTTCATTTCTCCAACTCAAATTTTTTTGAAATACTGAAGTTTCTAACAATCTGACGCGAAACAGAATTTCATGATGGACCAAATTCTGTACAATCTAGCTTTACAGATGTGATACTCTCCAGAAAAACACCAATTTGTCCAAATGAACAAAAAAGAAGAGAAATTCTACAGTTTAATGGTAGAATTTTCCACATAGTGACATATCTTTCTTTTATCTAAGTAATTCAAAAAACTAGTTATTTGCTATTCGAAAATCTTTGAAAATCCCAAGAAATTATTCTTGAAAATTCTCGGCCTTTGTACTGTTCATATATCAAATTATAACGAAAAGAAAATAAGGAATTAACATATTGAAACAAAATAAAGACTAATGTAATAGCTGCGTTAGATGGAAAACGGCATTATATCAATTAATCGAAATAAAAAAAAAAAACAGAGTAACACAAAATATAAATTTTTTATCGTAAACATGAACTTGGTTAAATGATCAAACTAACCGTAAGATTTTACCTATTCCCTTTCTTCAGACAAATGAAACTCAAGGAATATTTTGATTATTTTTGAAATTTTAAAACAAAATGACTTAGTTTAACGTTTGTTAGCAAAGAAATTATGCTCACGTTCAATTACTTTGTCACTAGAGTAGTTCGATTATTTCACCAAATTTGGATAAAATATTTTTATCTCAATTTCATAGAATAAGAGAATAAGCAAAGCAGCTGCATATCGGATATGTGTACAATGAGGTTTGCAAAGCAAGGAAAGAAAAGCTTTTCAAGAAAACCTTTAAAAAATTAGTTACTATAAAATCGGGTGAACTAATGCTTTAATATGGGACTGAATAAATTTTTTTGTTAAACAGAAAGAAAACTTCAAAAAAGAGACTTTTCAAAAGTTTCTCTTTTGAATTATAAAAAAAAAATGGTTGTCTTCTTTGTTTGTTTTAACCAAGCAAAATGAGGTTTAAAAAACTTGTGCTCGAGATGGTACCCAAGCATGCGGACGTGATTGCTCCGCGATGACGTTCAAGACACGGCGTACGAGATCTTCGAATGTTTGACCACTTACAACAGCTAAAATAATATCATTTTTATGATAAGAGTGATATACTATTAGAGAGGAAGATTGAAGTTATTGCATGTAAAGAAATATGAAAGAAGGAACTAAAACTATAATTGGCTGATGAATTTTAAATAACATAGAAATAAATATTCACCAGTAAACAAATCTCCAAAGTTTTGTTCTGTTCTCTGACAGCGCTGATATATAGTATGAGCATCATCTTCATTTATCGAATGATCCCATTCCCTATAAGAAATTCTAAGCATTCTATAATTACGGCTTGTTATCCACAAATTTCAGTAGTGCTTCGCCAACGGAGGATAAAACAGAAAGCTTTAATGGATGACATCATCGCTGAATGATTGTTTGAGGTGTTAAGGTTAGGTAAATTACTTACATAATTTGATGCGGTGTCTGCGGTTTCACGAAAACTGCTATTGGGTATATATTAGCAATAGATTGTAATCTACGGATAGCATTTCCACTCACATCGAGAATGCAATGTCGACCCTACAATAAACACCATAAAATTAGTTCCTAACTATAGAAATATGACATAATCAAATTAGGAGTGCTAATTGTAATCAGAAGTTCAATTTTGGCCATTTCTTTTGCACTCACAAGGAACTAAAAATCATTTCACGAGTACAAAATGGTATAGCATATGGTCATTTAAAGATTCTTTCAAAGCTCGCATACCATTTCTGCAACTTCACGAACAGAATTAATGCTCGTGCCATAAAGATTATCTTGAAATTGTCCTGCTTCGATAAATTGATTGTTTCGAACATCTTCTTGCATTTGTTCCTTTGAAACAAAATGATAATCACGACCGTCTATTTCGTTCGGTTTCGGAGGTCGGCTAGTATCTGCAATATTTCAGTTTTTAAAAATTAAGGTAAAACGATTTGACAGCTACCTAATAGTAAATAAATTGCTTTTGATGAAAAATAATAACATACGTGGGACGCAACTGCTAAAACGATCTCGATCACGGAGTACCAATTCATCGTTGATGCGATCTTTCATTGCTCCAAGAATAATAACCGGACGTGGGTAATTTACTGGAACAAGGGAAACTCAAGTTGAATATAATCAACTATCTAAGATATAATATAAACATATATATTTACAACAGTAAAATTCTCAATTAGAGCAAAACAACGAAAGTTTTAGCTACGCTAGCGAATATTCATTTATTAGTGGAAGAAATAGAATGTAAATAATAAAACTAAGCGTAATGGTTACTTTGTTGACGTTCCACTGCGACATATGACATTATCGGATCTTCAGTTGGACCAACTAAATATTAAAATAAATGTTTTAAAAAACAATTACTACTTTATAATCTGGTATCAAAATAATTCTTTGTTCAATGATTGTGAATCAAACACTGTCATCTTCCAGATATTAAATAAACAGCATATGTTTTACAACTTGATTTAAAAAAAGTTATAATTGCAGTTACTTCCACAAATAAAGAGCACAAAAAAACACAAAGTGATTGTATTAAGTGATTCATGTATATTAGAATCCTAATTCTTCACATTTTTCTCTTAGTTAGTAACTCTTGTTAATAATGTGACAGATAAAGCAGACACTGCACACAAAGCAGACTATGAAAACTTACAGTAATCACTATCGCTTGTAGTGTATGATGTATAAGTTGTACCATCTAAGGAAATCTTATAGTAATACCGAAGCAAAAGTTATCATTCATATCCGAAACCTTTCTACCTATTTTTCATTATGAAACAATACTCATAAGGTTGCGGAAGCTTCTGGAACCATGATGACCTATGAAAATGCCGAAAGAAATAGTATATGCACAGAATTTGCAAGACTCCATAAAAGAATTGCCTTTATTTATTACTAATTTTTGTCATCCCAGCTATATAAAACTAAATTTAAAGTTTTTTCTTCGCTTATCTTGATCTTGCAACTATGTCTCTTTATCCATTACGTCATATTTCGTAGGAAATGGCAATAATAATAAGAGAAGCTTTGCTTCTCACATTTGAAAGTGTTAAGAAAAATAAATTAGTTAAGCTAGAAATTGTAATGAACTTACGCTCATTATCAGTAAATTCGTTAAGTTTATCGGTACTTTTAACGAAAGGAAATTTGCGCGAGAATGACAGCTGTGAACGTGAACCACGACGACCATCCATACCTCGAGGAAGACTTTGACTACCAGCGTTAAAATTCACCTGAAAAACCGATGAAGGGTTTTAGGTGTAATATATTTATAGAAATTTTCATGTGTAATTTCTAATATCAAAGTTAATTTCGGGAAATAAAGCCCATAGGAAAATTGATAGAATAAAGAACTAACTCATCCTGATGCATTGGAAACATAATTCAATAAACAACTTAGAATCTAACACCCTAAATTCTGATTATCTTTATAAAAATCAACAATTATGCAAAGAAATTACTTTACAATAAATACACCTAAAATCAATGACCCGAAAGAAAACTAAATTTTTTAAAACTCGTCCATAAATATATGCATATATAAGTATCAGTAAAAGAATTTCATGTAAAGACTAACTATGCTTTACCTGTTTTCTCCGTTGTCGTTCTTTCTTTTCAACTCTTTTTTTGGATGGAATAATTCCTTCCATACCTTCTTCACCGCTTTCCGTAACCAGCCGTGCTGTCCACCAATCATCGTCCGCAACATTGGTAACATGTAAAATGTCACCATAAAAGAAAGGCAAGGCACGATGTGGAACACCTGCTTCGCGTGCTGGATCA